GGGGGGGGGGGGGGGGGGGGGGGGGGGGGTGGTGGTGTCCCCTGGGAATACATATATATGTACGGAGTACATCTAGAGGTTGTAGGGGCCAGGGTAGAGGGGCGTAGCAGTAACAAGGCCCAAGGCCTCAGGTGCAAGGTGTGGCTTTTGCTTAGCTGTGGCTGATCTCATCGTTACGGGTACCTTTCCTACTCTCTATTGCAACCGCCACACGCACAACATTCCATGGCCCCATCATCATACAGCTTACGGAAATCCCGACCCGTGCATCTGCAGAATGACCACACAATACATTGTCCCGCTCCCGTCATTATGAGTACTCTCCTTTGTAAATTCTCCGTCATCTCGTCGCTCTCTCTCTCTCTCTCTCCTCCCTCATCTCTGCTTCTCCTCCTCTTTGTGGCGGTGTGGGTGGGGCGCGCCAAGCGTCCCCATTCCCAGCTACCGTCTTGCCCCATCTCAACTCCAGCTCGATTCTCTCTTCTCTCTCTTTACGTGCACTAGTATGGTGGTATCAGAGTAGTACTAGGCTTAGGCTTTGCCAGCTCGACTGGGAGTTTGTAGTACACGCATCATCCGTCATCCACACACACACACAGAAAGTATAAGCACAGCTTCCCACAGATGGCATCACAAAAACTCCCTGGCTGGGGTGAACCCCTGATCTCATACATTGTTCAAGATTCGATCTGAATGCTGCCTGCCACTGACCTCCCCGATGACAGCCATCGTGCGGATAAGTGGTAAAGAGAGACGGAAGAAGCAGAAGCGTGGCTCGGGTCTTGCCGGTAGTTCCTTCCTTTGTGTGCACCTCGATATAATGACAGGTGCGACGCTGGAGCAACCACCTTCCCTTCCTCATTGTGAGAACTACAGAGAATGGTGAGAAATGGCAGAATGAGTACTTGTACAGGCTCTACTACAGGCTCCACTACTGCTGTAATATTGCATATAGAAAGCAATCGTCACCGCCCTAAGGTTGTCGCTGTGCTAGCTGACGGCATTAGCACCATCCGTCTACCCCATTTACTCCATCTTTCCCATCTTCACTGTTGTCATCTTCACCACCACCACCAGCATCATCGCCATCGTCGTCGTGATACTCGTCTTCATCATCATTATTATCATCATCTTCTTCTTCCTCTTCTTCTTCATCACATTCGTCACCATCACTTTCTTCATTTTCTTCATTTTCTTCATTTTCTTCATTTTCTTCATTTTCTTCATTTTCTTCATTTTCTTCATTTTCTTCATCTTCTTCACCTTCTTCATCTTCGTCATCTTCGTCATCTTCGTCATCTTCGTCATCATTATGACCTTCATCATCTTCATCATCATCATGTCATTGCAGCGTAGTTCCCCCACTTGTGCTGCACCTAACAAGACCCCGGCCAAGCCACTAATACTGTACCGTCCTCCCGGTGCGTGGCCCCAGGTCCACGGGCTATTACTCCGCGCCGTATTACGGACCACGTACTCTTGTTGCTCTGCATCTTCTCTACAGCTTGCGCCTTTGTGCTACCAGAACCCAGCAGGCATTCAGCAAGCGTCATCTCGACATGCCAGCCCTCTTATTACTCGTACGGAATATTATACCTGCCAATGCTACGTAGAATGTACACCCATGGTAGGAAGAGGAAAGGTGGGGGTGGGGGGGGGAGGGGGGTGTCGCGCCCTTGCGCAGGTACGTGCTTCTTTTCTTGCCCTTTCCCTTTCATCTTCCAGGAGCCTTGAGAGCATCCTCTTCTGTCCCCCAGTTCGTCAGGTACCCCCGTCTCAAGTATTTACGTCGTGCATACGTAGTACGCGGGAAACAAGCATTGCGACCCACACAGGCCCACTGCCCATCTCAAACAACTCAGACAGAAAACGGCGTGCACTGTCCTGTCTGCCAGTACGTCGATAATACTGTACAGGCGGAAGAGAAGATGTGATCCTATGAGGGAAGAAGATGCGATCCTACGAGGGAAGAAGATGCGGTCCCATGAGAGGAGAAGAATCACAAGTACGAGGCTAATTCTGGCATTACCAATTATTCACAGACTATGAACATCAATATCACCACTTCAACTACCACGAGCCTCTACGAGTACAGACCTCTGCGAGCACAGAAGAGTATGACTTCACAGAATACACCTTTGTCTAGTCGCCACAACATCACCATCCCAGCTGAAAGCTGCATACAAGCGTGTGGGGCATGACTAGAGTCGCTGAGGGTGTGGGGAGCGAGCCCAGCCAGTGGGGTCCGTGACCGTCCCAGGCATCCGCTCAAGACAAAGTCAACAGGGATTACGGAACCCGGCCATCGATCGGCATGGGAGCTTGCGAAGCGTACTTATGGAACATTTGTCTTGGCCTCGACTTTGCGGCCTCTGCCCCTAGTGCCCTAGATCCTGTCAAGTCGAAGTACTAGCTCGCCAGACTCACTGACGACTGCACCAGTAATGCTCCGTAGTTCGCCAAGCTACCCGTGCTAAGCCTCTGCAGATGATGATTTACTGATTTGCTACCCCCCCCCAGTCCTGTCACGTTCGCAGCCGCAGCCGCACCTCTCAGCTCGGCCCACGACTTCTCCCAGACGAGATACTCGGACGATCCACTGCGAGCTGTTTCGCAGTCAATCCATTCGCTCAGGTTGACTCTCGGCTCTCTGAGGCCATTATAAGCCTTTGACCATTTGGCTCTTGCCCCGAGTCCCAACGGTCGGCCGTTGGAGACGTCGGTCAGCCAGGAACCTCCTTTTTTTTTAAAAAAAAAAAAAAAAAAAAAAAAARGGGGGGGGGGTCTCCCCTATCCCTTCCTTTCTCCTCCTCCCTTTGTCGTTTCGCCTCGCCCAGGCTCAGAAGACGGAGAGATGCCGCCAACTGGTGGCAACGGTGACGGGGTACTGCAACAGCACAGACGATCGGAGAAATCTGCGCCGGGTGATTTTTAAGCACATCACCCGCAGCCACGCCTGCGCCGACGCCGATGCCGCTGTTGTCGATCCTATAACCAACTAACCAGAGTTCTAGGTTCCCATGACCAAGGCTTTGGGAACGCACATCTACACACACACACAGACTTACAAACGTACCGACAAGATGAGGCTATTGATTTTTAATACCCGGCGTCTGCGCATATAGAATACAGAGTTTCAGAAACTGAGATGTGACGTGTTCTCTGCCTCTGTTAGTGCCAGATTGGCAGGTCAAGCATACGGCTCATACGACACATACGATACATGATGTCGGGTTGATTCTCGCGCAGGCAGTACGCATACAGTAGCTCTATGCGACCAACCCAGCCTCTCGGGTCCGATGGAGTGATTATGCGTTGCAGTACGGCCAGTAAACTAGTAGGTGAACTACGGCCTACTCGTGGTAGGAGTCTCTATCTGTGTGGCTGCTGGGCATGGGTCATATTCCAGTCTTTAGACTCGTGTGTGTGGTGTTGGTGTGTGTGGTGTTGGTGTGTGTGGTGTTGGTGTGTGTGGTGTTGGTGTGTGTGTGTGTGTGTGTGTGTGTGTGTGTGTGTGTGTGTATGTGTGTTGTGTATGTGTGTATGTGTGTCTGTCTGTGTCTGTGTCTGTCTGTGTCTGTGTCTGTCTGTCTATCTGTTGGCTCAGTCTCGTTTATATAAATTTCCTTGCTTCCTTCCACTGACTCATCAAACTCTGTCAGTTCTCCCGTACTCTTTGTCTCGACGATCCAGTCCAGCCAGTCCATTGGGCAGAGTCCGTTCCCGGCTGTAACCCGGGGATGCAGAGTCTAGGGTCTACAGTACGTGTAGACCAAGACCATTGACTCTTCCAGGTATAATATCCGTACGAGCACTCGGGATGTTGGTCCCTCGATGGCAGGGGTAGTGGTCTGTACTTGGCACCTGCGTAGACTAGGAGATTTCGCACATTGGCAAGTCGTCAAGTACGAGTAGATGGTGTTATATTGTTAGTAGCAGTTGATTACTTCTCGGGATGATACTAGTAATCAAGCTGGTCACCACCATTCCGGTAGTAGTAGTAGTAGTAATAGTAGTAGTAGTAGTCTAGGGACCCCCGCCCTTGGGACATGATGATGTGGTTTGATTTTGTTTTTTTTTTGTTTTTTCTGCATCACCAGTAAGCATGATACTGCTACTACTTGGTAGGTACTGGGAGTTGAACATGTACATTTACAGCGTATGATTCATCACATGTTACTCCCTGTAGCATGCACTGCTACGTCGCACAAACACCCTTTTGTATGTTCTACCTTGGTCGCAAGCATTACCAAGATGGTGTTCTTCTTGTCGGGATTCTCCTACGTCGTAAGTATGGGGAGAAGAGAAGAAGAAGAATAGAAGATAGAAGCACGTGAGAGCGAAGGGATTTTTTTTGAGGTCATGATTGTGACGGAGTTGTGGTCCCCCTCATACACACACAGTTTTGCCACTGACAGGGAAATTTCATTGACCAGAATTATTACGCCTTATTGACTAATACAGAGAATACCAATATGATGACGAGAAAGCTCAGTAGATAGATAGACGCTCTGCACTGTGAAGAAATACATATAGTGTAGATACTCTGATTAGATCCAAATTGCAGGTATAGGTTAAGCCACGTCCAATCGTGTCATGACCAAATCTACAGGGTAAGTAAAAAGTCACGTTCCCCCCACCGTGGAAACGATGAAAGCATCGGTGACTTCATCAATCAGATGGCCGAGGGAATAGTGAATCTGCCGAAACTCGCCTCCCTCCTTCTCCATCATCCACAACGCGAAACATCAACAATGAACAGCGATAGAAATTATAAAACGATAGGCGTCATGAATTGACCCGATCGGATCCAGATCCCGGATTCAGACCCCTCCATCCATCTCTACCTCCCCTCCCCCCCGGCGTAAACCCCTCAAGGGCGGTCCGCGGATTATGCGGTGAACAAGGGCACATACGCCATTCATTCGTCAGACACGAATACCTGTCAGGGCATTCACACTACCATATATACACATATCGAAACAGGGAAAGGAGATATATACGCATTTCCCAATATGGTAAGTTTCTTCCTCTCCTTTCTGTTCTCTTCCTAGTAATATCCCTGAAAGAGAGAAGGAGTAGTAGATCCCCCTCCCCCCTCCCCCCGCAGACGCCTGTTGAATGTGTGCGTCATCACACAAGAGAGGTCAGAGGGAGTCCTTGGCCGAGATAATGTCAAGAGAAGAAAGGGGAAGGGCTGTTATTGGCTCATGTACAAGGGGGAAGAAACAGAGCGTCAATGCGCTGCTAGGTGTTTGCCAGCTGGTCGACACCCTCTCAAGTCTTTCCATTCCTCTCTCTCTCTCTTTGCTTTTACACACACGCACATGCTCTCTCTCTCTTTCTGTCTCTCCTTCCCAGTCTCTTCTCTTTCAACACATACATCATGACCGACTTGATATGAGAAATTCTTGACCAAGTGGAAAGAAAGAAAAAGACCGAGGAGGAGAAGGGAAAAAATGACTTTCCAACCTCCATCTCGCCATGATACATTTCTTCAACATAGAGATTCTGCCCAGTCGGATGAGAGTACCGTCAGTGCAGCCCAGCTAAGTCTTCGACGTCAACAGCAACAGCAGCAGCAGCAGAGTAAAGATGGTGCTACGAGTCCCAAGACGACGGCAGCCTCGGCCAAGGGGAAGCCGCGTCTTCTACTCATGGGACAGAGAAGGTAACCCCCCCCCCCCCCCCCCCCCCCTTTTTTTTTTTTTTTTTGTGTTGTTGTTGTTTTTGTTTCTTTGTCTCTTTGGCCCTTGGAGATTCTAATGTCCAACTATTTCCCCTATCCCTGTTCCACTAAGAAATGCCATTTTGACTCCTTTGATCCCTCTAGATCCGGAAAATCATCTATATCCAGCGTCGTCTTCCACAAGCTTCCCCCCAGCGAGACATTGTTCTTAGAATCTACGGCACGAATCCAGAAAGATTCAATGGCGTACGTCTCCCCTCCCACTCACAAGACCCGGCCAACACACCTCTCTCGGGGTGAAGGAGACAAGGAGTGTGAGGATCTGACTCTGTCAAAACAGCTCCTTCATGGACTTTCAAGTGTGGGACTTTCCCGGACAGATTGACATATTCGAAAACCCGGAATTCGACATGGAGGCCATATTCGGCGAGATAGGCGCGCTGATCTGGGTGATTGACGCGCAGGACGACTACCTGGAGGCCGTAGATCGGCTGAACACGACCATCCTCTGCCTGCAACGCACGTACCCCTACATCAACATCGAGGTCTTCATCCACAAGGTGGACGGTCTATCGGACGACTACAAGCTCGACATCCAGCGGGACATTACCATCCGCATCCAGGACGAGCTATCGGACCACGGGTGCGAGAACGCCCCCGTCACATTCCACCTGACGTCCATCTACAACCACTCCATCTTCGAGGCCTTCAGCAAGGTCATCCAGAAGCTCATCCCGCGCCTGGGCACCCTCGAGTCCATGCTCACCAACCTCTGCCGCACCTGCCGCTTCGAGAAGGCCTACCTCTTCGACGTCCTCTCCAAGATCTACATCGCCACCGACTCATCCCCCGCCGACATGGCCTCGTACGAGATCTGCAGCGACTACATTGACGTCATCATCGACATGACCGAGGTCTACGGCACCTGGCACCGCTCCGACGACGCGAGGGCCCGCCTCGAGGGCGATCCCTACCACGCCCCGCTCGACGCCCAGGTCGGCTGCCCCACCGCCGAGAGCTGCCTCGTCCTGCACGACAGCAGAAGGCCCATCGTCCTCAGGGAGGTCGACAGGTACCTCGCCCTCGTCGCCGTCATGAAGGATGACTCGTACGACAAGATGCCCCTTGTCAACATGAATGTCGACGCCGTAGTCGACGGCCTCACCGGCTTCTTCAACATTACCAGGAGGAATCGTTAGATGTCACGAAACTAGACAGAGAACAAGAACTACGAACTTTGTTCTTTTTTACCTCTTCCTCCCTTTACTTTTCAAAGCGGAATCAATCTGGGCTAATGGGAGGTTTTTTTTTCCGCGCCTTATACACACACACACACACACACACACACACACACACACACACACACACACACACACACACGCAGTACCATCACGCGGCGTTAGACAACTCTTGCCTAACATCATGTATTGCACTACTACTTATTCTATGTCCTATCTGGACAGACAGGGCAATAAACACTCACTCCCCCCATGTAAAAGCCTGCCATGTAGTCCGGTTACTTCCGAGGAGATATATCCTGGCCGCCAACTCACCCCGCGCATTAACCCGGTCATGCACCTGCATCCTCACCGGTTTCACCCCTGACAGTGATTCGCTGGGCAGCGTATACGTGGCGAAACTATCGGCTGCCTGACCGGCTTCTGCTGCTACTACCCCGGTTGCCGAGTCGAAACGTTGAAAGTCTAAGCTGTCCGATTTGACGGGAACAGCCATGGCATGTGTCAAACCACCTTTTGTGTGTGTGTGTCGTCGTCGTCGTTGTCAGCCAATTAGGAAAAACTCTGACGGCATCTCCGACAGGACAAAGGAAAATAGAAGAAATAAATTGGAAAAAAAAAAAAATCTCGCTTACCGCTGGCTGCGCATAAAACAACAAGCTCTTGACTACCACTCATGAAACCTAGGTCAATCAACTTGCTGTTGCCTAGATCCAACACGGCGGACTCGACGAAACCGTTGCTGCTGATGCCCCTGGTTATGCTGAGCCCGGCGCGGAATATATAGACTGTTTCACATCGTTGGCCAACCGTGAGCAGGGATTCTCGACGTGGGACTGCGTGCTCCCCATTGATGAGTGAGTAGGAATTCCAAATTGGATGGCACGACGTACCCTTGTTGCTTGCATCCTTAGACGAGAGAGCAGTGTAGATAAATGCCTCCTGTTCAGAGAAGAGGGAAGGATAGAAGAGAAAAAAAAATTCAGCGCGGTTCCGGAGTGGCAGAGAAGGAGAAAAGAAAAAGAGAGAGGGGGGGGGATGGCTAGACGTAGAGGGTGACTTACACCATCACTGTGTTCGCACATGCACATGTCAATCTTGTCAATTTTGTTGCCAATAGAAAGCTTGACTGGCTTCCCCAATCTCACACTGCGCTTCTTGGACTCGGCAATGTCCTTGAATATCGAATTCGACCAGTGCGTCGCATAATCGACTAGAAATTCGACTCGAGGCAGGGCCTTCATACCATCCTGGCTCTTCTCGTGCCTTACCAGCTGCGTGCTGAGCATGTCCATGAGGTCCGGCGCCCCGTCCTCCATCGTCTTCCAATCGGCGGCGCGGTCCTCATCAGTCATGTCGCCGAGGAAAAGGCGCATGGGACTATCGGTCAAGTACCGCTCAATGTACGTCAGGACTCTGGTCATGTCCATGGTGGCCTCCTTCTCGCTGAGCTCCTCGCTCTCCGGGGTTGATGAAGCGAGACGGTCGATCTGGAAACGAAGCCAACGGGAGAACGCGGTGAAGTGTTCGAGTTCGTTCATGACGGCCAGGAGCACACGGTGGCCGACGAGCGTCAGGCACCCGATGATGTCCATGACCTTGCTGATCTGCGGCACTGTAAAGCCAATGTCCTCTCGGTCATCGTGGAACTGGGCGAGGCCGCGTAGACGACTGAGGATGATGGAGCAACGCTCCAGAGCTGGCAGAAAGTTTTCGTGGACGAGACTGCGGAGGTTCTCGAGTCCGGCCACAACTGCTTTGTCCCATCGTTTATGACCCTATGAAATTTACAGTGTCAGGGGATTCATCCTTACCATGCTTATTGTCCTGTAAGACTTACCCGCTCAGCCAGACTGTCTACAAGCCATTCCCGCACCGGCTCATATGCGTGACCCGTCACCACGGTGTGGTACAGGGCTGCCACGACCGTCCGTGGACCACCTGTCAGGTCCTCGAGGCCAGCCTCAGCGCTGCGGAGGAACCTCGAAGGAAGCTCTCTAGTGTTCTTCCACTCTAGTTGCATGTGGAGCTGGGTTTGCTTGAGATAGCGCAGAAGCTTCTGCAGCGTTGTGAGCTTGGAGGCGAGGAGGGAGAGGTTTATGGGGACTGAGGAGATGAATGGGAGATCCATCGGCACAAGATGCACCTCATCCGGCTGATCATTGCGATCGGCTAGGAGAAGCGCATGAGTTGAGATGCGCGGACTCGAGGCAATGTGGATGAGCTGCGGCGGCGGCGGCGATGCTGCCGCTGTAGGGCCGAGAGGCGGGCATGGAAATGATCCAATTACAAAGGAGTCGTAGACGCTGAGGTGTAGTCTCCCATCCGACGACCCGACTATCATGACATTGACCTGGTCGTACTCGTCTGGTCTCGGAGCGCGAAACAAGAAATCTATGCTCGTCCGCAGCGTAAACACCAGTGCGTCTTCGCTGTTCATGTCCAATAGTGAGCGATCCGATTCCTTGACTAAACTTCCTCCAGAGCTGTTTGTTGACTGTTCATAGAGAAGAGACTTACCCAGATCCCGCGCTGCTCCCTGGCAAGGGACTAATCTTGGGCAGCGCTGTGTCAATCTCCAAAAATGTGAGCTCCCGGGGCAGATCAGCCAAGGGTCTGCCACCAAGCTCTGGAGGCGATACATCAAGAGCCGAGGTCTTGGTCTGCGCATGTGTAGGGTCCGAGATTCTCGTACACGACCAGCTTATGTGGGTAATTTTCGCGTCACTGGACTGGGGGCAGATCTCGATGTGATGTACTGCCTTGTTGTTCTCGAGGCCCATGAGACGAACGACGCCGTCACTCCAACCGACAGCAAGGAACTGGTCTGAGCGGGGGGGCCGTGTCAGATTATGGAGTAGAAGAGAGGGGGTGGGAGGGCATGTGATATATATATTACCGTCAGTCTTCCATGCCACGGCAAGTGGCTCGGGCGCCTTGGACCCAAGCTGATGGATCCTCGACACCGTCTGACTAGGCGGCCTGAGAATCAAGACATTCTTGCGCCCGCTCTCCCGAGTGGCCGATAGGTCCAGTGTCGGGCAGCTCACAGGAAAGCCATCGGGGACTTTGCTGTCGAATTCGGTCTCACTGAGGAAGGTGAGCTGCCGAGTCATGCTGCCGTTATGGTTCTCGTGCTCATTGCCAGTGGATTTCGAGTTGGAGGGGCACAGGTGTCATGCCTGCCCAAGAAGAGAGAGACACCCGTTTTTCTTCTCGCTCAGCGACAGCAAAAAAGTGAATATAAAGACGAGATGCAGAGGCCTAGAAGGAAAGAGAAGAAGAGCACCGTGACGCCGTATGATACGTTTGTGTATATGTCAGTAGTCAAGTTGTAACGCGTTGTCGTGAGCTTCTAGATGCGAGACGCGGAAGGTGCTCTCCACACACAGTGTCAATATTATATATATTGACACTATGACTTTAATGCTGTGCGCAACCACTGCATCACCAACTCATTCTGGAATCAAGCCGTGGACATTGCACTGCATAACATATTTGGCATATTGAAGAGAGCTATCCATGTAAAAGCGTCACGTCGACTTTATTGTCTATTCCACATTGTCGATGCAGCCTGATCATGTGCCACTTTGACAGAAATGCATGTTTTCCCGTCCGTCCCACCACACCAATATAAAAACGCTGCTCTACTTTTTCACCGGCCCGGTGTTTATTCTACTCGATCAAAAAGTTGTCCGCGCTGGTCTTGGTCTCCTTGGAAAAGGTGACCTCTTCATCTTCCTCGAGAAGAGATACCGATGTAACCTAGACAGTATCATGTTAGCAGGGGAGGTCACAGGAGAGTATAAGAGGCGGGGCAAATGACGCACATCAACATCAATATAAGGAGTCGTCTTGCTGAATCGCACGGCCATGGGGAAGAAATCGTTCTCGTCGTTGCTCTCGGCCTCAAACTCAAAAGAGCCAGAGGGGTTCTCATCATCGACGGAGCCAATGTTCCACTCGAGCGTGTCGCCCGACACCTCATAGGCGGCGTCGAAGCTGGACACGACGGGCTCGCTGCCTTGGTAGGGGATAGTAACATTGACGTCGCGCAGCGCGTCTCCGCCGGTAAGCTCGTACTCGACAGTCAGCGTAAACTTGTCGGCGTCCCGGTTGATCCAGACGGTGAAGGTGATGGGGCAAGCCGCCGGGTCCTCGGCCTTGGGCGTGGCGCGCCACCTCAACACGCCGACCGAGTTATTGATAGGAAAGCCCCTAGCAGTGTTGCTCATCTGGATCACCCTGGAACCATTGAACAGGTTGCGGTCGACGTTGGGGTGCGTGCGGAACTGGACACCGTGAGCCTGGACGGCCTGCAGGCCCAGCTTGATCTTGGTTAGGCTCGGGTCCGAGATGCGCAGCGTTAGATCTCCGCTGACAGCTAGAGAATTGACGCTTCCTTCCCTGGACAGCTTGGCGCTGACCGACTCCGACACGGTGACGTGGATGGCATCGCGGTCTAGCGTCGACGAGATACGGGGCCCGGCCTCGGCGGCGGGGGCCGAGGGCTGAGGGGTCACCAGGGGCGTGTCGTCCGCCTCGACGCCAATGTCGCCCCGCACACGCTCAAACATATCTGTCGTCTTGGACTTTTTGCCGAGCTGCATGCCCTTACCCTTGGGAGCAACGGGTCTGAGGAGAGATAAGAAGCAGTGTTAGCCGTCCATCCGTCTGCTGGCGGTGTACCCGCCACGACGTATTCACACCCGCGAGTAGGAATATACGCACTTGTTGAAGCTCTTGTTCTTCTCGGCCTCATACGAGTTGGTGATCTCGGCGCTGGGTTTCGAGGGGGGAGTGTAGGTGGGGTAGTTGGGTGCCCTGGGGGCGACTGCGCGACCGGTGCGGGCAGTCTCCTTGCGCTGCATCTCGAGCTGCTTGGCCTTGCGTTTCCGCTCCTCGGTGGCCTCAAGCTCCTTGTTCTAGAGAGAGAGGGGGTACGAATGTCAGCACCGTACTTTTCGGGGTCCGAGAATGTTTTGCGGCCTAGGAATGGAAAGCCTTACACGGGCAATAATCTCCTGGATGCGCTCCTCGTGACTCTCCATGTCGAGGAAAGTCCTGATCTGGCCGAGGGTCAGATTCTCGCGATAGCCCAGCGTCACGAGCTCGTCAAAGGCGCTGAGGAGCTCGTAGGCATTGCGGACAATCTCTCTCTCGTCGAGGGTTCTGCAGGCGCTGGTGACAACCTGGGCGAAGAGGTGGAGCGAGTCAATATCCTGGAGGATGTTGGATTGGCGGTTGGTAATGAGCACCATGTAGAGCTCGTCGAGGGGCTGGTAGACGAATCGGACATTGTCCTGCTCGACAGTCGTGTGCTGGGTACCGCTCTGGGCGAGCTTGGGGAATGAGGCGAGCAGGGCTTCGATGCGGGATCGGGGCATCTCCCTGAACTGCCTTGAGAGGACAGCTTTCCCTCCACGGGTGCAGATCGAAGCCGCGAGAACGACCTAGTGTGCGTGCGTTCCCGGTCAGCATGTCATCATTCACTATTGATCATGGTGGGAAGCCGGGGGGCCATTGAGAGGGAGAGCGCACCATGTTGCCGGTAGTCTGTGCTGGCCACTTGGTTCTGGGACGGTGATGGGGTTGATGCGACGTCAAAAGGGTTGGGAGTCGTGGCCTGTCGTCTACTCGTCGTATCTTTGTCGGTTGTTGCTTCTGGCGCCAAGTAGCGGGCGGTGGCACCTGTTGCCCCCCTGGAGGGAGGAGCTGGCCAATATTCAGGCCACCTGGAGGCCCGGCTGTGTGTAGTGGGGGCATGAGCATCAGGAAGGCGGTGAGTCCCGTTCTGCCGTCTCTGTTTCTTCTCTCCTTTGTCCGCCTTAGTCATCACTGCGCTGTTCCTTTTTTTGAGTTGCTCCTGCTCAAATAGTGGCATAGAGTAGCTTGAGCCTTCATTCACTGTTGGATCTGGAGGTCGTAACCCAAAAGTATCGATCACGGGGTTAATCTTTTCGCCAAACAGCTTTCCTACGCGTCCTGGCCAGTGACTAACTGCCATTATTATTTTCCACTCATACTTTTTCATCTCAAAATCATATAAGAACCTACCATCCGACCGGCGTTGTTCTTCCCTGTCCAAATGTGCAGCATCGCCACGACACGCCAATACCCCGATTCACCAGAGCCTTTGCCCTCACCACCACAGGAACATTACGACTCGTAGCTTGCAGCCGCATAGCACCAGCATACTCACGCCAAGAACCCTTCTCAGAAGCCCCAGTGACCGAACCGAGATATCGACGCAGCCGATACCCGGTCGACAGAAAAGAGAAGCGTGACATGACTGAAATCGACATGGATATCGACACTTCACACCCGCCGCATGTGGACGAGGACCTCATCGACTACGAAGATGATTTCGCCCACCAAGAGCATCTAGTCGAGAACGTGCAGGATTCAAAGCAGGAGCAGGTCGTCCCGGTGGTGTCTAGGGAAGGCGAGGAGAATGACGGTGTCGACATGACGCTAGGTGCCTCTGCTGATATCCAAGGCCATGAGCTGGAGACAGACGCTCTGGAGACAACCAGTGACGAAGCTGGTGGTGACCTGCCAGTGGAACTGACGGCTGACGCAGCCGAGCACGTACAAGCAGACGAGGCAGAGATGGCCGAGCAAGAAGCAGAGACTTCTGCTCAACAGCAGACGAATGACCAGGACTACATTAACGACCTCGATTTTGGGTACGAGGAAGAAGGCCAGAACCAGAAGGGCCAGGAGCTAGACGTTACCGAGACTGAGGTAAAGACAGCCGAGAACGAAGGTGATGAGGCACTCACCCAGCCCATCGTGCATGAAGAGGATGAGATTACGTGGGAGGACGAGTTGCAAGAGACGAACGAGGCCGTCCACTATCAAGGAGGAGATGAAATCGAAGAGAGAGATCAACGTGTCCAGGAACTCGCTCAGCCTGAAAAGCTTCCTCAGCCTGAAGAGCTTCCTCAGCCCGAAGAGCTTCCTCTGCCCGAAGAGCTTCCTCAGCCCGAAGAGCTTCCTCAGCCCGAAGAGCTGCCCCAGCCCGAAGAGCTTCCTCAACCCGAAGAGCTGCCCCAGCCTGACCAGGCTCCTCAGCCAGATGAACCAGAACAAACCGAAGAGATCGAACACACTGAAGGACAGGAGGAAGCCGTTGACTATACTGCCGGTGCTGAGGATACATCACAGGAATCTGGAGGCCCTGAATTCCCACTCATCACTGTCCAGTACAATGGAGAGGAATTTCCATTGCTTTCGCGCACGTCAGAAGGCTTTTTTGACGATGGCTCAATTCTTGACGAGAACATGGAGACCCTACTTGCTGGGTTCCGGGCTGAGCTTGGGGACGAGATATCGCCAAATGAGGAACTGGTGTACCAGGTCGATGAACTCGGACTTGAATATGCTGAGGTGAGTTTCCCCTCCTCTCATGAAGTGGATTGCTTCGAAACTCGGAATCTAACATGTATGATGAATGTAGTCCTCTTCGCGCGACTCTCTTTCGCAAGTCACCCTCAACCAGATCCTTGAGATCTTGGATCTCCTCGTCAAGAACCAGGACCCCGATGAATCCCGGGGATTGTACACATACTTGTTCACAAAGCCCAGCACTACCAGGCGGTTCGAGTTCCTCGTTGAGAGCGCAGCAGCTGGCAAGCGGCTCGCCGATGTTACTCATCATTTCGGATCCCCAATGCCCCAGAGTGGTCACGGCGCGCAAGCCGTAGATCCTTGGGACGAACTGGCCGGGTACGAAAGCATGGGTGATGGCAGCCCGGACGAGTCTGGCGAAAACGCTGGAGAGCATCAAGAGGGAGAAGAGGCGGAAGACTACGATGTCGATGGTACCCTCGGCGAAGAAGAAGAAGAGGAGGAGGAGGAGAAAGAAGTCCAGGCTGCCGAGGACGTCGGCCAGGAAGCCCACGAGGAAGCCCGTGAGGAAATCGCCCATGACACGGTGCAAGACGATGAGTTTGACCTGGGCGAGGACCTCTCAGGTGCTCACCCGGCCGAGGATGACACAAATGTCGGCAGTGCAGACACCAGCACAAGCAGCACGGTCCAGAACGACAACGCGGCGGAGGATGCCCCCGACGCGGGTGATGAGTTGGAGTTTAGCGAGCCTGTCGACGACGAAACCATCGAAGATGGGGCTGCCAACGGCGATCCTGCCAACGATGCCAACGGCCATGATGGTGGTGAAGATGAGCTGGGGGAGATTGACTGGCGTGACGAGGCGGATGATGGCGATGACAACGCGTCAGATGTCTCTGGGGGTGTAAACAAACGCTCACACGCCGACGATGATCTGGACACGGCAGACGGCAAAGGCATGTTCTCTTCTCCTCAAGTGCTTTCCACCTTACCAGTGCTTTCTACCTCGGGAGTGTTCATCGAGTACGAGTACAGCTGGCTAACTTTGAAGCAGATGTCAAGCGTCAGCGGTCTTGAGCCGTCCGCCATGTGTCCGGAGACGCTAACGTGACGGAACACTAGCAGCGACCTAGTCAAGGCTCTCAGGCTCCTTGGTAAGGTGAACTAGAGCGCCGACGTTGACGAACGGCTCTGCGCGGTACAAAGCTGGCCGAGCCCTGTCCTGCCCGAGCAGCAGCCTCGGAAGGGAGGCGTAGTCGCCCCCTCTCCCCGAGGGCCCAGAGCCTTGGCAAGACAAATTAATGTAATCATACGGGAGGGCAGTGGCAAGGGCCCTGTCTGTCAGTCGGGGCAGGATAGCCAGGACAGGTGAGTATTTTCAGATGAAACTAACGACAGCTATATATTTCCTGCCGAATGTTTTGATAAAATCGGAAGACGACGACGATGACGACAACGACAATAACGGCGCTTGTTGTTGATGTTGTGTCTCTTTCCTCTCTTCACCCTTACCTAGTACTCTCTTTCGATATTGTATACCCTCCATCACGGCGATGCCTTTCTTCTTTTTTTTCTATTCTTCTTCTTTAGCTCAAGGTATGGAGCAAGGCAAGGGCGTTTGGGGAGTTGTGATGGCTATGCTGGGGGGGGGGGGGGGGGGGGGGGTAATGGTATCGGCGACGCAACAGGCTACGGGTATCTCTTATATCTCGATACCGCATGGATCTTATTCGATCAACTGTTTCCCAACCATGGCCAGGGGCGTTTTATTTGGAGGTTTCTTCTCTGATATTAGTGACAGTGCAGATGTATATCTGTACATATATATGCTGAGAATAAAGAGCAATATCGATTAGTGAGGTGATCTGGTGAAATGCTTGCAGTCAGTCATCGTACCGGTAACTACAACCCGTACAAGTACGAGTAATGCTCGTATAAGGCCTCGGTACTATCTACGTTGATGGGAGCACTGGGAGGAATACTCGTATTGATCTGGACAAAAGGAGAAGCAGGTCATTGCCATGGTGAGATTTGTTCGGTAATATCGTCCATTATTCTATATCCTTTTTTCCTCATATTTCCTCATATTTCGGCTTTTCCCCTTTCTTTTCTTCCACGAGTACGACGTATAACCCGCATGGGGGAACGGGTCCCATGTGGGAAGTGGCCCAAGTGGGTGCGGGAAAGCAATACGATAGGTGCCTCGGCAGGCCGGTACGTGCGAGAGTCACGGAGTCGATGCGAATAATCGTCAGGATGTGAACGAGCAGGAAAAAAACGAGAGGAAAAAAGGTTCAGGGGTAGTTCTCAGTCGACATCTGTGATTTGATGAGAGTCGGGGTGAGAGTCTATATATGTACGAGTACGGAGTAGAGAGAGTGGTATCGGTACTGACGGTCGTTATCATCACGTCGTACTTGGTAATACTACGAGCACGGATATTCGTAGACATAGAATACTCCGTACCTGTAGAGAAGCCCAACCCAAACCCCCCCTTCTTCGTAGAGTGCTCCGTAGATGCATACGTGTTGCTACGGATGGGGCGACGTGTGATACGGTCTTGTGTCCTACAATGTACGAGTACGGAGCAGAATCTGCTACTCTAGCAGCGCAGCGCAGCGTCACAAATGTATCTACGGCTACAGGCTACGACGGGCTACGGGCTGCTGATAGCAGTACAGGTTCGTAGCAAAGTATCGATACCACCTGCTGCAGGTATTCAGGGGTTGATTGAGAATAACCTCGTCTGGGCTGCGTGGTGCGCTACGTTTCAGGAAACAGATCCCTACTAGTTCCCTTGTTCGCGGTCCTGCCCCGGTCCACGGACAGCGAGGGAGAAGAGGCTGAGCATATGGAGACGCGCATTGGACCAGGTCTGAGCAAGTGCTCAGGTACGGAGTACCCGTACAGGCTACGGATATGGCCAGGTACGGGCAGATAATACATAACACACCATACAGGTACATGTACCGATGTACACGGAGCAGAATCTAATGAAAACCCTGACCGGAAGGAAAAGGGCTGGGGGTGTGGGTCTCGGGCCAGGTTGTAGAGTCGTAGACTCGTAATACAATGGTGGATCTGTCTGGACTTGGCTGTGGGCTGAACAGTCTGGTGCGTGATGTACGATGATGGATTACGAATATATATATATATATATATATATATATATATATACATATACGTATATATGTATGTGTAGATATGTACATGTATATATATACTCTGTACATCTGCATATGAGTGGGTAGAGAATGTACGTTTGAGAGAAGAGAAGAGGATGATGGAGAGTGGTCGATAAAAAATGACGGGAAAGAAGAAGACCGTGATGCTTGTTCAACCGAGGCCTAAGATTGGACTGCCACCACCACCACCACCCGCTACCCCGTACTACCGCTACGGTACAGTGCTGTCAGAGGATAGAACCACTGTAACAGTGGCAGCGCTTACTGGGCAACTTGCTGGCATCCGCCGGAGCTACGCGCGCTGGGGTCGCTGGGAGCGTCGGGGTATTCGTCACACCGTGGCCCGATTGGACCTGGATGGAGGCTGGCCGGCGGGCTCTCTATAATCGTAGGTCACGACACCACTGTAGTACCTCCCGTCGACCACTGTAGCGATCACCGTGGCTGCTGTAGCCTGTAAGTACAGGCTCTACAGATCACGACGGGCTAAGAAGAGATCGGCGCTCAATAGCAACTTGCAAAAGGAAGGTACTGTACGTATTACGTTCCCTGCTTCCCCCAGTTCCTCCTTCCTTGTCTCCATCCCACCACCACCACCACCAACAACACCACCACCACCACCAACTCTACCTGTACAGCGAGTGACCCTCTTTTCTCTCTTCTTGCGACTCTCCGTTGCTTCTCTCTTTCCCTTACTCTCTCTCTCCCACTCCCACGCGCCCTCATCTCTCTCTTTCGCTTCTCCCTCCTCCTCCTCCTCCTCCTCCACTACAACTACAACGATATACGACATACGAACCCTTTTCGTTTCGCCCGCGATACCTTCCCCCCCCCCTCCCTTAACACTCCGTCGCATGACATACGGCGGTGTGTCTTCTTCTTCTTCTTTTCTTCTATCATTTATTTCCTTTTCTGAAAATCCACCGAAACGTCATCAGAGAACAAGACACCTTGGTCCGTTGACGCGCGCTTGCTGAACTCAGAAAAAGGACCCGGTCCACCACCACACAACAAATCTCCCTTGACTCGATCAACTTCGCTTTTTCTCCCACAACCCCACCGCCGTCGACAACCGGAAAATCACATTCTCTTTTTTTGCTCTCTCTCTCTCTCTCTCCTCTCTCTCTCTCTCTTTCTCTCTCTGCTCGCCTGGCGCGACGACTTCGCATTCGAATCCATTCCACCTCCAACTCCCGCGACAAAGCCTTCCCCCCGGACGTCAACGTCGCAGCATCGTCCACATTCGTTTGACAGTGCTCTTCTCTCCCTCCGTCTCCCTCCGTCTCCCTCCCTTTGTCTCTCTCCTCTATATCTCTCCCCAACATGCTTGAGGACAAGTACGTGGCCCTCGCGCGCAGACGAGCCCCTCCTCTGCGTCCGCCCATGCTGACGACAGGTGTCCAGATATGTCGGCCTTGCCTTGGCCATGCTCTCGGCGCTCGCTATAGGTAAGAGAGAGACACGGACGAGGAGGACCCTGAGGATAGGAACTCGGAAGAGAAGCAATGGGCTGACTTTTATGTGCAGGAACCAGTTTTGTCATAACCAAAAAGGTCAGTTGATATGGACACACAAACACCACCACCCACACCCACCGCCCACCGCCCACATTCTGACAACGCATCACAGGGCCTGATACAAGCCGAAGAGCGACACGGCTTCGAAGGTGAAGGGTTCGTCTACCTCAAGAACCCCCTGTGGTGGGCTGGAATCGCTACCCGTAAGCTGTCCCAAGACCGGACTCTGAGACAACAGACACACCTCCTCCCTGTGACTTGTAACTGACAAGAAGGAAAAATCCTCGCCGCCATTCAGTCGGGATCGGAGAGGTCTGCAACTTTGCCGCCTACGCGTTTGCCCCTGCCATCCTCGTCACGCCCCTCGGAGCCCTCAGCGTCCTCATCGGCGCCGTACTCGGCTCTTACTTCCTCAAGGAGGAGCTGGGCACCCTCGGCAAGCTGGGCAGCGCCATCTGCCTCATCGGCGCCGTCGTCATCGTCCTCCACGCCCCCGCCGACGAGGAAATCGAGACGATTGACCAGATCCTCCACTACGCTATCCAGCCCGGCTTCCTCCTCTACGCCGTCGCCGTCGTCATCTTCGCCACCGTCATGATCTACAAGGTTGCCCCCATCCACGGAAAGGAGAACGCCCTCGTCTACCTCTCCATCTGCTCCACCGTCGGCTCCATCTCCGTCATGTCCGTCAAGGCCTTTGGCATCGCCCTCAAGCTCACATTTGCCGGCAACAACCAGTTTTCACACCCTTCGACCTATGTCTTCGTGATCCTCACCACCGTCTGCATCCTCACCCAGATGAATTACTTCAACAAGGCCCTTGCCTCGTTTCCCACAAACATGTATGTGTCGTCATCTCTCATCCTCTCTTGCTCTCGCAAACCCACCGCTGACCTGTTCCTCCCCTCACAGTGTCAACCCTCTCTACTACGTCACATTCACCACCGCCACCCTCTGCGCCTCCTTCATCCTCTTCAAGGGCTTCAACACCACCGACGTTACCAACACGATATCCCTCCTCTGCGGATTCCTCATCACCTTTACCGGCGTCTACCTGCTCAACCTCTCGCGCGGAGACCCCAACGGCCACAAGCTCATCTCCGGCCACGAAGACGTCACCGGCACCGATATGATCTCGAGCTTCCAGACGAGGCTGAGCATGCAGGCCAGGAGGAGCGGTGATGTCGGACGTCACAGCATGACCAGCCTCGACGGAGTTCGCCGTGGTGACAGGGAAGGCCTCATCCGCGCCTACGACGAGGAGGAAGCCGCCGGCTTCGGCCTCACCGACCTGGCCGAGGAGAGTGGCAGCGAAGAGGATACCCGTAGCGCCAATGGCAAGGCAAACGGAAAGACAAACGGCAGTGCCCATTATGATGACTTGGAAGCTGGCCACAAGTCGGCTGACAGGTGAGAATCGGGGAAGAGATGAGGGGAGAATGGTTTTGGACCTGCTTTGAGAGAGTACGATTTGCTCCTCTACACGTGGACTTGTTTCTTGTTCCATGGCTGCCCATTCTCTACTCCCCGACCGACTACATCTTTGCCTCTTCCTCTTGGCCATGTTTATCTTCTTGTACATCATCGTTTTACGTTTGCTACAAACTCCCCCGCCGCCCTCATCACCATCAATACCTTGACAAGCTGCATATGTAATCTTGTCAAGAAACTTCGTCACCACCTCCACATACCATGATGTGGACGATTTTTTTTTTGGAAAAAAAAAAACAAACAGGAGAGGTGGGATAGACTGTTTTTATATTTACTTTTTTTTCTTTGTGTGTTATCATGACTTTGGGTGGTATTCCCGTGCATCTCGGCTGGGCAGAGCCAACCAAGATAGGTTTGGTGGTGCCCCTCGTGGTCATGAAACCCACCCTCAACAAACCCCCCGATTTACGGCACGAAAGGGAGTCTTAGACAGATATGGGCGGAGCAACGGCGTTTTTTTTTTGTTATGACGGGTGGGAAAGAGATTGAAGAGGAAAGAAAATCTCTCGTCTCTTTCTTGGGTTTTTATTTTATTATTTTTTTTCTTCTTCTCTTTTGTTTTCTTGATTCACACAAAACATCAAACATCATTTTCACACAACCCATTTATATGAATGGGAATGGCATAAGTAACTTTTTTCTTCTTCACTGCAAAACCATCCCCCAACCCCTCCCCTTTTTGTTGTTGTTGTTGTTTTGTACGATATGCCCACCATGAGACAGAAGGATACTAGGTTAAGGGAAAGGGAGAGATGATGGCGACGGGAATTTTTTTTTTTTTTGAGGGGGGGGAATTTGGGGATGAATAAAGTATCATCTTATATATATCCTTCTCTTCTCTCAATGACTGGATATCACTTGTTCTTTCTTTGCTCTCGGAAAATATATTGCTTTTGTGACATGGCTTTCGTCTCCAATGGATGCAGGGAGGATCATCCTCTGATGCAGCCTTTCTATCGCAATCTTTCCTCCCTTCTTTCTGAAAACTATCTGGCATCATACTTGAATGGACGTCGTCACCTTGCGTCTTATATACATGTACCAGACGGTCACATCTTGGCTTCAACTTATACATCAGCTTAGAGGAAACAGGGTAAACAGATGAGAATCATGCCATTCATGCAATAGAATTTTTTTTTTCTATATCAATAAACCACCTGAATAGACCACACCGCCCGAGTCAAGGGTCTTGTTGATTTGTCCTTGTTCTTGAAGGGTAAGAGGAGGGAGTCAGAAAAAGTCATGTGTATTTCCCGGTTTTTTTTCTTTTTATAGAGAAAAAAAAACACCACTCTTAAAAGCCGAAAACACAAAAACTCCCAAAGATTTTGTTTTTTTTTTAAATTTTCCTTTTGTCCACATCCTCCTTACCAAACAATAGAAGCCGTTATTGTTACTGAGCAAATTGGAGAAGGAAAAAGAGGAAGAAGAAAAGAGTCGTTAAATAATTCTTCCTCTCTTATTGCTCAGCAGGCTCCTGCTCGTCCTCCTGCTGCTCGGTGGCACGGACGTCCTGAGAGGCCTGGGCGGCCTGGGCGGCCTTGGCACCGTAGTCCTGGCTCACGGGCTGGAGGACGGGCTGCTCATCCTTGGGCTCGATGATGGTGACAGCATCGGGGAGGGACTTCTGGGGGCCGGCCTTGCCCTCGGGGTCGGAGCCGCGCATGATCTTGACCTTGATGCCGAGGACACCCTGGCGGAGGAGAACGTGGCGGGTGGCGGAGTCGATGAAGTCCTTGGCGGGCTGGCCGGAGTGGATCATGAAGCCGTCGGTGAACTTCATGGACTTGGCGCGGGCGGCGCGGAGCTTTCCGGAGACGACGACCTCGCAGCCCTTGGCGCCCGACTCCATGATGAAGCGGAGGACACCGTAGCAGGCACGGCGGACGGCCAGGCCGTTGAGCAGCTTGTAGCGGAGCGACTCACACTGGGCCACGGCCGACAGGCCGCGGTTCTGCACTTTGGCGGCGTACAGCGACACCGAGTTCTCGGGGAACTTGAAGCGCTTCTGGATCAGCGAGGTCAGCTCGCGAATGCGGCGACCCTGCTCGCCGAGGACCTCCTGCGTGTGCGTGGCGCGAACGATGATGTCCGTCACCGTCGGCGTCACGCGGACCTCGACACCGGAGTAGCCCTCCTCGGCGAGCTCACGCTGGAAGAACTCGTTCAGCTCGGCGTAAAAGACACCGTCGGCGACGAACTTTCTCCTCTTGGAGCTGTCATTACGGGGTGTGCTGTCAGTATGCCGTTCCATTCTTGCCTTCTTCTCTTTTCTCATCTCCCCCCCCTTTCCCACCAATGGGCCATGTTTTCTTCCCTCTTCCAAACGCAGCGCGGGGCAGTAGGTATCGGGAGAGCCCACCAGAACGACGAGTAGGAGGAATGTAGTTCGAGAAGAACGAGAATGTACTCACATCTGAATTCCGGGGTGAGCCATCTTGACTGATTTGTTGATATCGACCGGTCGGGAGGCTTGACTTGGGGGACGAGGGGACGGGTTGGTTGCGGCTGGGTCGAAGTGGGCTTTCCTTCAGGAATCTTGTCGCGATGCTGTGCACACAAAGGGTGGCTATCCCTTGCTAATTTTTTGGAGGTGGTGTGGGTTGGAGCCCTAACAGTTTTGGTGTGTAGGTACGTATACTTTTTTTTTTCCCCCTTCTTTTTTGGATTAAAGCAGTATACATGTACAGAGTACCCACTCGGTTTTGGTTTTGTGTGTAGGTCACCAGCTTCAATTGTTACTAAGCCCAAATCACACGTGCCTTAGCAAGCTATCCGGAATAACAAATTATCCATACCCACGACTCTGACCCCAAAGACGCTCGGGCCAGGTGGGGTATATGGGTCATCACGACATAATGCTCGTACAGACTGTCTCGTACACATGCCACCGAGTATTACAACAACTCCAACCTCGTACCCGTACACTTGTACCCAAACACGACAAAAAGTACGTACCTTTTATTGGGGCAGATCCCCAGCCCGAACCCGGCTGACGTCTTGTCTTCTCTTGCCCTCTTGGAGGAGACCTTTGGACTGCAGTACTGCTACTGCTTTGCTTGGATTTGCCCCGCAACAAGGGTTGTATCTCTTTCTTTCCACCACCAACCCTCCAAAGTCAAGCACTGCAGCGACTCGTCACGCAGCAGGAGCAGGAGAGTCACGCGGGACAGCTTCGCACATTCTGCTACTAGTAATAAGTTCACCTCGGCTTTTGGGTGACGGAGTATCCCTTGAGCTGCTCGGACAATTCGTTTCTTATATCGACTACTCTGGTGTAGTACTACTACTGCACGGACTCCAACGAGTGTGAACCTTACACCTGTTACCACCCCGGCGCATCATTTCATCCACCCACGCAGGCATCTTTCTACCTCTGCTCCCACTATACGCCAGTCGCTCTCTCTGGCCTAACATCGGATTTTCCTGGGCCTGGACAGGACACCTTTGGTTTGTTTCGCTCCCTACTTCATACCCCCCGAGGGGCATCATCATCTGCCGCCCTCCCGATAACGCGCCGTCGGATATCCGGTATCGGTATCTGTACCCAAAGGGCCCTGAGGCGGTGGCCAGTTGCCAAGTATGGAGGCTCGCAAGGTCAGTGCTTCCATTTCATTGTCTCTATTCATCAACCGCTCTCTCTCTCTCTCTTTCTCTATAAAACCACCATCTGACAATCAACAGGTAGTCGAGGGCGTCCAAGGCATCAACGGAGGCCAAATCACCTTGGGCACTCTTCGCTTGACCGACTTCCATCTCGTCTTCTGTGCCCCCGCACCCAATTCCCAAAACGACCCCTCGCAGCGACCAAGGACGCGAGAGAAATGGATTCCCTACCCCATCATCTCCAACTGCACATTTCGACCCGTCCACCCGGCCTCGAGACAGCTCCCGGCCATCCGCATCAGGTGTCGCGACTTCTCCTTTGTTACCTTTAACATCCCCGATGGAGATGCCGCCCGCGAGGTGTTCGACTTCATCAAGGCGCGCACGTGCAAGTTGGGCACCGTCGAGAAGCTCTACGCCTTCAACCACAAGCCGCTGAAGCACGAGAAGGAGGTCGACGGCTGGCACCTTTATGATCCCAAGGCTGAGTTCAGGAGGCAGGGCATCAGCGAGAAGCTCCCCGACAGGGGCTGGCGAATTACCACCATCAACAACGACTACTCCTTTTGCGACACATACCCCGCCTTCCTCGTCGTCCCCTCCAAGATATCAGACAACGTCCTCAAATATGCCCGAGAGTTCCGCTCCCGCAACCGTGTCCCTGTCCTCTCTTATATCCACCCCGTCAACAATTGCACCATCACCCGCTGCTCCCAGCCCCTTTCAGGTATCACCCGAAAGGCAAACGTACAGGATGAGAAGCTCGTCGCCGCCTCCTTCTCCGCATCGGTTCGGGGCAGCTCACAGGACAACACTCCGGTCACCAGCCAACAGGATGTGCCTGAGGGCGATGTCTCGCCTGCTGGCCTCGACTTGTCGGAGACGGAACGCCTAGAAGACGAGCTCATCTCGAAGTCCATGGTCATGTACGATGAGGCTACCGGCAAGCGTCTTGTGTACGGAGCGCAGCAGACAAACCTGATTGTGGATGCGCGCCCTACCATCAACGCCATAATGAACCAGGTTCAGGGCATGGGATCCGAGAACATGGACAAGTACAACTTTGCCTCCAAGATCTTTCTCAACATTGGAAACATTCACGTCATGCGCAGCTCTCTGTCCAAGGTTGTCGACGCTCTCAAGGATGCCGACCTGTCACCGCTGCCCCCAAATCGGGAGCTGCTTCAGCAGAGCAACTGGCTCAAGCATGTCCATGACGTGCTCGACGGATCTGCCATCATTGTGCGCCAGATTGGCATCCAACACTCACACGTCTTGATCCACTGCTCCGATGGCTGGGACCGGACTAGTCAACTCAGCGCGCTTGCCCAAATCATGCTGGATCCCTACTTCCGCACGTTGGAAGGCTTTGTCACATTGGTGGAGAAGGATTGGTTGTCGTTTGGCCACATGTTTAGGCTACGTTCCGGGCATTTGAACCATGAGGACTGGTTCACGGTGCAGAAGGACTCGTACGCCGGCTCCCGAGCCCAGCCGGGAGAGAACGACGATCGTAACGACGCTCTGCAGAGCATGTTTAGCGGAGCCAAGCGCTTCTTCAACCAGAACCCCAAAGAGGAGGGCGACCTGGAAGCGATCAGCGAGGTGGCGCCCGGCAAGGTGGCCAACGACGAGGCCACGACCCCCAGGATGGTCAGTCCCGTATTCCATCAGTTCCTTGACTGCGTGTACCAGCTCCAGCGGCAGCATCCCACGCGCTTCGAGTTTAACGAGCGCTTCCTCAGGCGTCTCCTCTACCACCTCTACTCATGCCAGTACGGAACGTTCCTGTACAACTCGGAAAAGCAGAGGAAAGACGCTCGCGTGGCCGAAAGGACATCATCCGTCTGGGACTACTTCCTCTCCCGTAAGGCCGAATTCACCAACCCCGACTACGACGAAACGACAGATGACCATGTCAAGGGCAAGGAACGCATAATAGCGCCGGATCTTTCGAAGATACGGTGGTGGTACCAATTATTCGGTCGAACAGACGATGAGATGAATGGGGCTCTCGATATGGCGGCGGCTGCCGCCCTTGACCGTGAGGCAGCTATATCAAGTTTACGCACAGAGGGGGGTGCCATCTCTGCTGCTGCCACAGGTGCGTCGAGCCCGCAGCCTCCTACCCTGCCATCCAGCCAGTCCGTCCTGACGGCTGTGGAGTCGGCCCACAAGACGCTCACACCGGAAAACCGGGACGCAACCCTGCGGCGGAGCGCATCCGTCGAGGGGACCAACCTCAACGCGCTGGCGGCTCTGCGGGACGGCATCGCAGGACTAGGTCTGGCCGGAAGGGGCGTCCTGGGTAACTTCGGAGGGCAACGAGCCAGCAGTGAGCAGCCCCAGCAAGAGAGGGAGACGGCAGCTCGTAGCGACCAGGAGCTGCGAGAGATGGCGTAGGGGGTCATGCTCCGGAGAGAGGAGCAGCATAAGCCCTACCTGATTGTCGAGACGCAGGATACGAACCGCTTCCGCCAACGGTCCCTTTCTCAGATCAGCTACCACCACGTCGAGCGTACGGCAGCAGTGCCCATCGACAACGTCGTAGGTGACATAGCAATCGGAGGTACGGGTCCTCGAACAGCAACGGGTTGAAGTTGGTGCAGCCGAATTCATCTCAGGTCTGGAGTGACGACTCGTCGTCTGGTGTGGAGTACTTGGATACAGGTTCAGACGTAGGATCACGATCATCGACGGCTACATCGAGCGAAGACGACGATCGGAAGCGTCCCTTTGCAACGTCAAAGACACTGCCCCCTCCTCCTCCCCTGAGGACTGAAATGATTGATGACCGTGTTCTTTGGAACAGACGAATATTACCGCCAAAAGGAGTTTCCGTCTTTCACTTCTTTTCTTATCAAGTACAGGTAGCATGATACACACACACACACACACACAAAAGGGGAGGGAAACAACAAAAAGCTACATGAGAACTCAACGGTTCAGATGCTTTATCTTAAAAGGGCCAAGAAAAAAGAAGGGCATATGATGGTATAGAATTGTGGAACAGAGGGACCTTGGATGAAAGGGGGGGTTGTCAGTATGAACGGCATGAAGTATCACAATACTGGTACCAGTAGCGATCATGAAGCGATGACACTTTGTTTACAATGATGCCCACAACTCCAGTCTCCACTTGTACTACACCTCGTGACATGAAATCAGCGGTTCGAAGTTCCGTAGCAGCTGCCGAAGCGGTGCGTAAGCAGTGCCAGCAATGTCATTCCATGTGAGAGTTTCGATCAAACTTTTGTCGGTTCTATCCTCAGGACTGTGTTTGGATTTGTATTTGTATTCATGAGGTGTGCTTATGAATGTCGAGAATGCGGTACCTCGTTACCGGCTCATTATCATGATCCAGAACAGCCATCTTGCACTCTTTGACGGGGACCGTCTCCCAGGTACGAAAGCTCTCCTCGAACTCCAGCGGGCCCGGGTCAACATCTGGCACGATGGCCATTTGGCCCTCGTTGAGAGCCTCATAGATTCTGGCATTCATAACCACGCCATTGTGAGCAGTGAACATGTCAGACCTTGCACAAAGACTAAGGATTTCGTCCATGGCATCGGCTGCATTCGACAAGCACAGACAGGTATGAGGTGTTTAGGGGTTCGGTGTCTTGCATATGGGCTTGTACGGGATGCCACCGATAGTGCCCAGCTTTGCCCGGACAGTACGCCTCCGTCGTCTGAGCGCTGAGTTTAGTATGTCTGAAGGTCTGAAGGGGTGTGGCCTTCTCACCGTGTCAGCCCATTTGAAACCCGCCTCGGCTAACGTGAAGAGGCCTGTCTTGGAGGTCATGAGGTCGCTTGTGGAGGACTCGCGCGTGGTCTTGGCGTTTTTGATCCCTTCTCTCTACTCCACCATCCTCATCGGTATCGTTGCCAATACCCTATGGCCATCAAAAAAGGACCGGTGAGGTAAGTTGAAAGGGAGATGATTGAATACGATTACGACTGCGAGTGTGTGGTGGCGGAAGAAGGGAAAGAAGCAGATGGCAGACAGCAATCTATCTGGTGATGAATTGTGAGGATGATGAAAGGGGGCACGGAGATGGGCCTTGAAGCTGAATGTAACGATAACCTGGGCAGGCAGGAGCGACCCTTGCGCGTTCCTGCCACCCCAGATATGGTATTTGCACTTCATCTCCCTCTGTGATGTTTCTCATATTATGAGGATGATTTCAACTTTTTTTTTTCTTGTTGTTCAACTGCTCTTGTTCTCGTTCTAGATAATAAGAGTTTGTCTTTCTGCTTTTTTTCTTTTTCTTTCGCTGGGTGTATGACGGGATATGGTTTATATCTAAATGTTCTGTCACTGTAGCCCCCCCCCCTTTTGTATGTAATACATCATCTGCTTTGCACTACACCACATCTCACAGGAAGACTTCGAGGTTAATCTCGAGTGTGCTGACGGGGTATCTGCCAAGTGTGTTGGTTAGAACAGACAGCGGGTAGGAGACGCAGGCATTAAAAAAAAACGAGAAAAGGAAAAAAGGGGAGGAAGAAAGGAACTACGGAAAATATACCTTAGGTCGAACTTTTCGAGCACAGAAGGGTGGAGGATTCCAAACTCGCCGATGCGACGTTCCTTTCCTGCGAGACGGAAGTGCACGGCGGCAGCGTGCCCGGGGAAGAAGGTGTCCTCGTTGAGCTCCTCGATCCAGTAGCCGTCTGCCTTGTTGGCTTTGTCGCCCTGCAGCTCGGGGAGGAACGGGATGCGGAGCATGAGGAGGATGCGGTCCAGCAGACCGTGGACCACCTCGAAGCCGCTGGTCTTGCCGCACCAGGCTGCGGCGAAGTGGCGCTCGTTACGGGCGCGGCGCTCGACCGTCTCGTCCTTGAAGCCGACGTCGGACACCTCAAAGATCTTCATAGGCACGCTGTGGCCCTTGTTTTCGCGAAGCGTCTTGAGCAGACCAGGCAAGAGGGATGTGCGGACCATCTGGTACTCGAGTGTCTTGGGGTTGGCTAGGCGAATGGCCGTCGTGCCGTCATCCTCGCGGTTGAGCCAAGCAAAGTTCTCCTCATGACTGCACAAAATCAACGGCATCACCTCGCTCCATCCGGCCATGGCCGACTCGACGCGCACAATGTCACCCAGCTTGTTCACCAAGAGAGGAGCGCCCACCGTGGCGCTGCGGCTGGGCGCTGTCCGCGGCAGGTTGTTGAAGCCGTAGCATACGGCCAGATCCTCCATGATGTCGCACTGGTGCAGCACGTCGGGCCGTGTCACAGGGACAGACACATCCAACACCTTGGGGTTGCTCGATGACTGCTTGGCCTCGTAGGCCATCTTGCGGAGGAGCTTGCAGAGGGCTTCGGGGGCCTCGGTGAGACCGGTGCAGCTATTGAGGTAGTCGATGTCGGCTTGGGCGACGCGAGGGTTGAGCGAGGGTGTGACGCGCGACTGGTTGTTGTGCTCCGACACGATGCGGACAGGCTCGACGGTGAATGGTTCGGAACAGTACTCGGAGAACATGGTCACCATCATGTCGGTGACAATCTGTAGCTTGGTTGCGTCCGTAGCTGTCATCTCGATGAAAACGTTGGTCGTGTCAAGCGTAATCTTAGAGTGGTTGCTGTTGATGATGGGCGGCAGCGAGCACACTGTCCTCTTGGAGTCGTAGATGACGGGGTAGACGGGCGAGTCGCGGACGATGTGCAGGAAGCGGCCCAGGTTCCTGTCGTCCTCGTAAAAGGCCATGAGCTCCTCGCCATTCATCTCGCGCGTCTGGTTGAGGGGCACGAAGCGAATGTCCTTGGGGGTCAGGGCCTCGTAGGTGAAGGGACCCTGGATGGTGTCGAGGTCGTGGGTTCCAATGGCGACCAGGGTGCGGTTGCGGGCTAGATTAGAGTGCAGCTTGTCCTGCAGGGAAATGAAGGACTCGTAGCGCTCCTTGGTGAACTTGATGCCGCGCAGGACGGCACCGGCGACGAGAGGTCGAATCTGGGCCACCTCTGGCTTCACGTAGATGGTCTGCTGCTCCTCGCTCTTAGGCGCGACGACGCGGAAGTTAGGGGGCGACGTGCGGCCGCGGAAGATATTGAGGTTGAGGGCAATGCCCTCGAAGCAGAGCATATCGTAGCGGTTGGCGGGGATCTCAATCTTGAGCTGGGCCGGCTCCTGGACGCCGTCGACAATGGGGCGGTCGTCATTCTCCGTGTCCTCGTCGAGCTCTATACCGAATTCGAAGCAGAGGTCCTCAAACTCCTCGGTCGTGAATCTGCGAGTGTTGTGACGGCCATGTCAGCAAGCTGTGCATTGGAGGGGCGGTGATGATGGCCCATTCATCATCCATGGTGGGGAGGGGGGGGAGGAGGGGCAGGCAGACAGGCATGCAAGTAAAGGTAAAGCAACATGGGGGAAAACAAACTCACTTTTGACCGAGAGCATCGAAGAGCCTGTACTTGTCAACACCAATGGTAGGCATGGTGGGCGTATGTCGGTCGAGGAATCCGGCGTTGTGGAGAGAGTGTTAGCAGAGAGAATCCTCTTCGTCGTCGTCGCCGTCCTACGATGTTTCGCTACTCTCTGCTGGCTTACAGAGGAGGGGCCCTTTCCTTTTTTTTCGGGCTTGCCCTGTGAGTGACTCAGTGGAAAGGTGCACCCCGCCGGGGTCGGAACATCAATGCTCCTAGGTTCCGGGGATGTACATTATACATATACCTGATGACATAATGAGCACTCGTCGCACATAATACACACACATTGGCACTGCGGAGTATTATTACTACGTACCTTACTAGCTACTGACAGTGACAGGGGGTGTTTATGTTGGGCAGCCATGAGATGTCGATGGCCTCGCATCCCAGAGTATTATTTCTGATTCACGATCTGACTCGAGTGAGGGTCACAATATGCTGTTTTTCTTTCCTGTCAATAAGGGAGGAGTGCTCCAGTATCCCAATAATAGGATGGATATTACTAGCATGTGATATGCTCCGTATGATTTTATCAACCTGGGCAAGCCACAGCGGCTGGTCGCCCGTGCTACGGCTACAGTTGCCTATGCTCACTGTGACCACTGCTAATAACGCCGGGGGCTTATGCGGGGGACTGTGGCTGAGACACGGGCAGTATTAGGCAAGTACACGCATACACATATCTACACGCCGCAGATGGGACTTTGCGACAACATTTTGCTACTCTATCTACTTCTTCCCATTCATCTACGAGGTAGTAGCAGGAAAACCGCATCAACCCTCGTTTGTTACGTTTCGCTTGTTGATTTCGATTGTTGGGCGTCGCATTTTGTTGGCGCTGTCCGGGGGAGAAAGAGGGGAATCTGAGGGAAGCTCTGTGTCTCCACTAATACCCCCAGTGCTAGCGCGGCAGTCGATTCTCACCTGCGGGTACATGTAGTATTGTTGGACTCACGGTCTCTCACTCAGCTTGCCATATGATATTATTACGAGACACTTGTGTGGGATGCGATTCCCTCTATTTCCCGCGCAGTCAAAATATTTCATTCTCGAGGAACGCTCCGTTGTCCGTTGTAGATGATGGGTAGCGGAAAGGAGGGAGCGGAGCCGTGAGGGTAGTAAAGACGGAAACAGTGCTGCTCTTTCTTATTAGTAGTACAGTACAGGTTTCTAGACGTAACAATTGCTTGGCTTCTGTTGATACGAGCCTGTTATTAATAAACTCGCCATTCCATTACGGGAGTCAAGCTGGATCCTCGTCGACCGAGAATCGGGTGATGAATTGATACCCTTACAGGACCGGGTGATATACTATCTATTCCTATCCCAGGTCAGCTTCTATTTTGGAGTTTCACAGCCACTCCAGAACAAGATTACAAGGCTGAGTCCTACCTCCACCCGTTATCCATCCGTGACGGACTTGGCAAATTACAGGTAGAACTTCGCGCATCAGCTAAGCCTCTGAGAGGCCTTCTCAACAGTAACGATAACGATGACAAGATATGGTCATGTGCTGAGGTGTCAGGCTGGCATATTTGCTCTCTCCAGGTTCGAGTCGTTTGCTATTTTCTCAGCTGTTAACTGGGCAAAGTCACGGGATCCCTGACAGGTGTCTGCACTACTGCTCCCTACGATCAGGTATTATTACTCCGTACGAGCACTCGTAAGACTTGTACCACCAGGTTATGGTACGAACTCAACTCGTACGGAATAATTAGGCGCTTTTTGCGCCATAAGTACATGTATGTGCTCCGTAGTCACTGCAGAACTGCCCGGGTGCGAATGCTCCATTCGTAATCCCAGCCAGTGCCAACTGTAATTCATACGTAGGTCCGCTGGATAACAGCTGTTTTCAGGGCTGCTACAGTGCTGCTACACCACTACGAGCTCCTGTAACATGATCATAGCCCGCTGTGGCTAGTGGGCCTGATATGCTCTCCTCCGCTGGAGTCTTCCCCAAATCTATCCACCCCGCGACGGCCTCAAAGCATGTCAGCTGGGTTGAACGATGGGCATCAATGGATAATAGCACCCATTCCGTTATAGTCCCATCTTTTTTTCCCACCTGTTCCAACCTTAGTACTCCTCGCCCTACCCCCCAACTGTCTCCATCAGAGAGAGAGAGAGGGGAGATATTCATGGTTGTTAGCCGCGTCCTTCGGCTCCCGGTCTAGCTGCACCTCCGCTTACCCTACGCGCCCCCTCTCGAAAGCAGTAGCCCTTGGGTTTTTCTCGCACCTGCCCGCTTTAGTGCCCGCCTCCTCGCGTCCCCCAACCTCTGACCAACCGTCGTCACTCGTCTTGTCCACGACAACAGACAGCAGACAGGAGTCGGCGCACTTCGCAAATCGTCTCGAGCCACCTGGCCCGAATGTTGCTGCTGACCAGGTGACACCAAACCGACGTCGCCGTCACTGCTCTTCTTTATTTCTTCTATTCCCCTCTCTCTTCTTGATTTACAGACGGTCGCCACCGCCGCTCGTCGTAGCAGCCCGACGCTTTCGAATCGCATCCACAGGCTGATCCAAGTTCCACGACGAGAACCAGCCACGACAGCGGGAAAGGAGAGTCGGATCGTCAACTCGAACATTGACTCGGACACGCGCTTTGCCGTCTTCAACCCATTTATTGACCTCGAGAAGTCCTCAACTTGCCTCCGAGGCGCGTAGAAGCTCACAGTCGCTCGTCGATTGATAGCTTCTGAGAAACGCTGCTTGGTGCCACGTCGCCACTAACCATCGCCGATTTCCTGCCGACTCACGTCTTTTCGCCTGCCCATCATGGACTCCCAGTGGCAGTCCTACGCCGATCCGTCCGGTGCCGCGCGCCGACACAACGGTGCTGTTCCCCAGCAGCAGGCCCCGCCGCAGCAGCCGCCGCCGCCTACCTACAAGTATGATCACTACGGCGGCGCTCCCGTCGCTTCTGCTGGCACCTCATCTGCCGCCTCCCCCCTAGCTGCTCCCCATATTCGCGACGGCAACGGTGATATTGCCATGCATGACGCCCACGACGCTCACGCCGGTATCAAGTACCCAATGAGGCCCCTCCACCAGAGTCACCCCTCCTCGTCTGGCCGAGGCTCGGGCCTGCACTCCCCCGCCGATGCCTCCTCTGCAGCCCAGCGATACTCGCCAATGGATACGCTGCCGCCATCGTCTCCCTACGCACCCAAGCCGCCTGCTTTCAGCAACCCGCCTTCCCAGAGGCAGTCTCCCGCCAAGCAGGCCGAGTATTCCACGAGTCCTTACTACCCGGCACGCCAACCTCCGCCCTCTCAGCAGCTCCCTCCTCTGAGCACCTATGCCTCAGCCCCATCCCACGAGGCGTATCCCTCATCAGCCGTCTCGGCCTCGAGTGACATGCCGCTATTCCCGCCCGATCCCAAGTCTCCACGTCGCCAGGCTCCCATGCCCGCCCCGCGAGGACCCGTCCCCGAGTTCCAAAAGGTTCGCGGCCCCAACGATCTGCGGCCCAAGCTGAACCAGCAGCCGCCATTCCGTCGTGCCAACCCCGAGGGAGGTTTCATCAGCGTGAGTCTACACCATCAAAGATATCCCGCCTCTCCACGGCATCCTAAAGCTGACCTGCCTTCTTTCTCACCCCAGCCTCTGCAAGCTCTGACGTCCCACCTACCGGCTACGTATCGCATTTGCAACCCTGAATTCAAGTACGAGACATCACGGAACCCGCGCCGAGTCCTCACCAAGCCAAGCAAAGGCGTCAAGAACGATGGCTATGACAACGAGGATAGCGACTACATCCTCTATGTCAACGACATCCTTGGCTCCGAAGAGGCCGGCCATAAGTACGTAATCCACGAGGCCACCTTTTCTCTTGTTCGATCGAAGATGACCCTGAGCTGACATACATCGCGCTCCTAGAAATCGCTACCTTATCCTGGATGTTCTGGGTCAGGGCACTTTTGGTCAGGTCGTCAAGTGCCAGAACCTCAAGACGCAGGAGGTTGTAGCTGTCAAGGTAATCAAGAACCGAACAGCCTACTTCAACCAGAGCATGATGGAGGTATCTGTTCTCGACTTGGTAAGCAACCCGTCCCCGTGATGGAACAAGAACCAGACCCAGATACTGATCTGCTCCCGCAGCTTAATTCCAAGCTCGACAAGAATGATGACCACCACTTGTTGCGCCTCAAGGATACCTTCATCCACCGCCAGCACCTGTGTCTCGTCTTTGAGCTGCTGAGCGTCAACCTGTATGAACTGATTAAGCAGAATCAGTTCCGGGGACTCAGCACAACTCTTGTCCGCGTCTTTGCCCAGCAGCTGCTCAACGGCCTCGCCTTGCTCAACAAGGCTCGGTTGATCCACTGCGATCTTAAACCTGAGAACATCCTGCTGAAGAACCTCGAGAGCCCCATAATCAAGATTATAGATTTCGGTTCTGCCTGCGACGAACGTCAGACAGTCTACACCTACATCCAGTCTCGTTTCTACCGCTCGCCCGAAGTCCTACTCGGCCTCCCCTACTCGTCAGCCATTGACATGTGGTCGCTAGGCTGCATCGTCGTCGAGCTGTTCCTCGGTCTACCTCTCTTCCCTGGATCGTCCGAGTACAACCAGGTATCGAGGATTGTCGAGATGATGGGCAACCCCCCCAATTGGATGCTCGAGATGGGCAAGCAGTCCGGCGAGTTTTTCGATAAGAGGCAGGATGAGTACGGCCGCAAAACCTATCAGCTCAAGAGCATGGAGCAGTATGCCAGGGAGCACCAGACAAAGGAGCAGCCCAGCAAGCGATACTTTTCGGCCAACACGCTACCCGAGATCATCAAGACGTACCCCATGCCGCGCAAGAACATGAAGCAGAGCGAGATCGACAGAGGTAAGACGCACGCACCTTTCTGATCCCGCGCCTCTTGTTTCCCCTTCGTGCTAACCAGTCTTCACAGAGATGAACAACCGCGTTGCTTTCATCGATTTTGTGCGGGGTCTGCTAACCATCAACCCCCTCGAAAGATGGTCGCCGCAACAGGCCAAGATGCACCCATTCATCACGCAGCAAAAGTTCCAGGGCGCATTTGTGCCGCCGATGAACCTCAAGTCTAGCTCACTGAACCGGTCGCCGGCTCCGGGAACGCAGCAGCAGCAGCAGGCCGAGGCCCTCAGCAAGCAGCGTGCGCAGGCGGCGCAGGCCCAAGCTCAGGCACAGGCCAACTCAGCCGCGCAGTATGGTGCCATGGCAGGTGGCCAGTACCCGCCGTCAGGCCACGCTCAGCCGCCCATGTACGGGGCCGGTCCCGGCGTGTACCCGCCCGCAGGAGGCAACGTGCCTCCGGCCTACGGCTCCCAACCCACCCAGTATGCTCAGATGCCTATGCCCCAGGCTGCACCGCAGCAGATACCACCTGCTGGGCAGTATGGCGGCGTGCCCCAGCAGGCCATGTACTCTCAGCAGGGGATGCGGGCCAACCGCCAGCGCGCGTCAACGATGGAGCAGCAGCAGAGCGGCGTACCGGCCGCCATCCAGCGCGTTGCCAGTCACCTGGATCCGAGCCAGCCCATCCGACTCCAGCCGAGCCCGGCCTACTACCCGCCGCCAGGTGAAGGTCTCCCTGCTGTTGACTCGGGCCGTCGGGATCGACGCACCAGCCGACTTCAACAGGGTGCGCGTGGAAACCGAGACTTCATCCGTAACCTTGAGGAGCGGACCATGGAGGAGGGCTTCATGGGAAGTCAGAACCCGTGGCATTGAGCACACGTGTTCGGGGACGGTGAAGAAGCACAAGCCGGGGTATAGTCTAACGGCAATAGCCGAAGCAACGGCAACAGCAACATCAAAATGCTCCTGCCATTCTGCATCATTATATTTTGTCTTGATCTGTTCTCTTCTGCCCCATTCGAGAAATCCCAGCTGGACTTGCTCCCTAGACCGGGAGAGACGCGTGTAGGCGAGAGAGATAAAAGAGCATTGCTTTGTGTGGCTGGTACCACGATGACACCCACCCGGAACAAGGCATCCCCCCCTCCATCTCTGCTCAAACGGATGTACGGGGGAGCGGTAGCCGAGATTCCACAGTGTCGACTCACTGCGGGTTCCGAACAGTTTTTTCCTCCTGTTTCCTTCTGTCTTGTTTTTTTTTTCATACATGGGGAGAGTGCGAGGGACAGTAAAAAAAATACTATTCTAGGATGAGGCGTTTAGGGACGATGGGCATCGCTCAAGAAGAGGAATTTGTTTTGAAAGATCAGACCAGGGATCTATCTTGGCCCCCCAAGTGAAGAACAAGAAGAAGAGAAGACAAGACGAGGGCGGCCACTCTGCCTCGAATTCTTGTGTGTATCCGTTTACCCCTCCCGCCCGGGAGACGGATATACCAGAAGGAGAGAAACAAGGGCAAGGAAGCAGGCAGCTATGGCAATGAGAAAAGGAGGAAGAAATCCAGGGCATGAAGGATGCTTGATTCATCAGAACCGAAGCAGATATTAAAAAAAGAAAACGACGAAGAGTGCATAGCGGTCAAAAACTTGTATATAAGCTATTTACTTCTTTTTTCTTTTATCTTGTTTGGCTCTTTCTTTCCCCTTGCTCTCCTTTCCCCGCCCGGTCATCTTTTTCTCTTCGGACTATCTTGTCATGTCTCTCCAAGAAAACGAACAAGACACTTTATTATATGGCATAGTTCTGCGTTTGATCATGCCATGTCTCACATAGTAAGGGGGTGGGATGTGATATACCATGTATATTCTGTTAGGTTCTCCTGTGATTTTTTTTTCTTGTCGTCTTTTCTTGGTATAGTGTATACGTTTGCCCACTAGCAATGAGAATGATGCTCATACCATTATTTTCTCTTCTTCTTCATAAGCATACTAGCAATGAGAACGATACTCGTATACTATTATTTTCTTTCCTTCTTCATAGGTATTACAAGAACAAGATGCGGCAAAGACCTTGGTGATGAAAAAAACAACTTGATGTACAATACGGTCCCCGCTACCCCCTGACGCTATGTTCAATACAGAGGGCTGAAATACGTGGGAGAAACAGCCTTGCCTTGGTAAGAAGAGTGTGATGACGAAGATGAATAAGAAACAAAAAATGTGGTTTAATACGCGTCGTGGTGGCTGTACTACCTCGTACCACGACCACGGTTACGACCATCACCGCGTCCACCACGACCTCTCCTGCCATTGCCGTTATTGTTGTTGTTGTTGCTGTTGTTGTTGCTGACCATGGCGTCACTATAGAGCTGGGTGCCTTGTCCGGTAGGACGAGGTTCGGGGAAGCCCATTGACCCGTCGATAATGTTGCCTGTAATGTGTGCTGCTGGTGCGGTCGGTGCTGAGCGCTGGTTGCCAATCTTGGGGTAGACCTTGATGAGACGACCGTCGGCCTGGATTGAGAGCACAGTTAGCAGCTGTTGCCACCTTCTTCTTCTTCTTCTTCCTCTCCTCCGCGAACACCTTGAGCCTTGAGAGGGGAAGAGAATAGAGGAGAAGAAGGGGAGAGAAACGTACCATCTTGTCGTTGAACGTCTGGATGACACGCTCACCACCCTCCCTGGAGTGAAACACCATCTCGACCACCATAAACGGCGAGGTCTTGGTGATGCGGCAGCTCTCCATCTCCCCGCCCACGGGCGTCATCGCACTCTCCACATCTGCAGCTGTGGTTCCCGGTGCAAAGTTCTGCGCCATGACGACGAACGGTCCGGCCAGTCCGCGGATGGATATCCCCCTCCCAGATGCAGATGACGATGACGACGGCGCGGCGGCACCCGATGCAGATGGGCGGATGTTGAGCTGGTCGACAGCCATGCGATCGAAGGCAGCAGCGGCGCGATTGTTGCTCCTGCTGTTTCCTCTGCTGTTATGTTTGATGTTGTTTCCGTAGGCATTCTTGGGTGCTGCCGCCGATCCGGGTGTCGTTATGCGTGCGCCCAGAGACGTGGTTCGCTTGCCACCGCCGCCGCCGCCGCTTACCGAGCTGTGAAGGTCGTGTGTCCATTCGCCGTTGACATTGCCGGGGGCGGAGGGGTTTCCACCGGCTAGGGAGGAGCGTTGCTATACAGTTTGTTGTCGGATGAGCTATGGCCGGATGCAGAAAGAGAAGACAACGTTGTTTCTAGTATGGGCCACGGTTTTTTCCTCTACCTTTTTGACGCCGACCCGGCTGGCTAGGGACCCGCCAGCTTGGGCCTTGAGGTTGGGTGCGCTCTGACGACGAGATTTGGATGAGAGGAGCTTGCTTGCTAGATCTTCATTCTTCTTGCGCTCGCGTGCTGCACATTGGGTTGTCAGAGGTTGGAGGGAAGACCAGTTTGTGGTGGTAGTGGGCTAACCATTGTGGATAAAGGCTTGGAAGTCGTTTGCTTGGCCGGTCGACGCCATGGCTGCTGTTCTCGGTAACGGGGAGGGATGCGGTAGACGCAGTTCGAAACGAAAAGAGGAGCAGGCACTACTGCTAGGTGGTGACAGTTGGGATGCTACTACCCGGCGAAAAAGAGAGGTGAGGTTTTGGTGATGAGAACGCGGCGCGCGGCAAGACAAAGAGAGAGAAGCCAACAGCTTGGAAGTTGTCGGTTCTGAGAGCTAAACCCGTTTTAGTAGACGCGTTCCCAAGAGCTGCCAGCTGATAAGATAAGCTGCCGTTGTGGGCCATCTTCTCTCTCCAGCTTTTCTCTCCTAATACGATGATATTACTTCAAGCCAAAGAGGTCCGTCAGAGCAAACTCCTCTCTAGTCTGCTCTTCATCTCCGTCCCACCTCACCGTAAGAACAATGGTGCGCAGCTTGTTAGCATGCGCTGCCCGCTTGCCAAGGGCAGCCTTTGTCTCCTGGGTACCATTTGGAGCACGGAGGGGGCCTGTCGCCGTCCTCCCACGCACAGCACGCATATTGGATGTTCGTCTATTCGCGAACGCCGTCGGCAACACGTTACCGGCGCCGGAAGCAGCAGATGTGCCCCGGACCCTCGAGAAGAGCGGTGACGATGACGCCGACGTCGCGGAAAAGAGGTCCAAGGATAGACTTCAGGCTGTTGTCAAGAAGCACCTGCGTCACATGTCTGACGACCCGTGGGCCGTGGGCCAGTACGTCGAAAAGGCCCTTGCGCGCGGTGCCTTTGACGAGGCGCTCCTGCTGGTGCAGAAATCGAGTGCCGGTGGGAATCAGGTTGTCGTGGCCTGGAACCACCTGATTGACTATCAGTTCCAGCGGCAGCAGCTGAAGCACGCCCTCAAGCTGTACAATGATGTAGGTTTCCTTTCTCTCTCTCTCTCCTTCGTCCTTCTACGTGACAGCTGACCCGAAGGCGAACAGATGAAGAAACGCGGTCAGCTCCCCAACGCTCGTACCTTTACCGTCATGTTCCGCGGCCTGGCTAAGTCTCAACACCCGAAGCAGGCTGTCGCCGAGGCCGTAAAGCACTACAATGTTCTCCTCAACGACAAGCGTCTGGAGCCCAACTCGATCCACCTCAACGCCGTCCTCAACGTGTGCGCCCGCGCCGGCGACCTGGAAAACATGTTCCTCATCGCCAACAGCGTCAACGAGTCCACCCGTTCGCCCACGGCATACACCTACACCACCATCTTCAACGCCCTGCGCCACCACAGCGCCGCCGCCTCCCCTCGCGCCGGCGCCGGCTCCCGCGCTTCCAGAGACGAAGACGGCGACGACCTGCCCGCCGACCAAAAGTACGCCAACGCCATCAAGGTGGTCGAGCGTGCCAAGGGTCTCTGGGAGGAAGTGGTCCGCAAGTGGTTCGCCGCGAGGATCGTCATCGACGAGGAGCTCGTCTGCTCCATGGGCAGACTTCTCCTCGCTTCCCCGCGTCGCGAGGACAAGCGTCAGATCTTTGACCTGCTCGAGCAGACCATGAAGATCCCCAACCTCGTACTGAAGCCCGAGCTGGGTACCGCCCAACCGGACGAGTCGATGCGCAACATTGCCGCCACAGCAGCAGCAGCAGCAGCAGCGGCAGAAGCAACCCCCGAGCAGCAGAAGCCACCGCAGCAGCGAGGCAACGCCGCCAGGCCGCATCACAAGAACCGCCCGGCCGCTTACGCCGTGCCCGGCCGCAACACACTCGCCCTCGTGCTCACGACGCTGTCTGCCACGCGCCAGACGACGGCAGGCATCAAGTACTGGAACCTGATGGTGCGCCACTACGGCGTCGTGCCTGACCGCGACAACTGGCTGAGGCTCCTGGGCATGCTCAAGGTGGCGCGATCGAGCGCGCACGCGGCGTCCATCGTCGACATGATGCCCGACTCCCACCTGGACGCCACGGCTTTCCGCATAGCCATGGAGACGTGCGTGCGCGACAACCTGAACCGCAATAGCGTGGCCAACGCCAACGCCATCCTTGACAGCATGCTCCGCCGCCTGGAGCACCCAGACCTGCACGCCATGCGCCTGTACTTGCGCGTCGCGCTCGTGAGCCACGTGCACCTCCGCTCCATGCCCGACGTCGAGGAGGCCAAGCGTCTGTACGGCGTGCAGATCACCGAGTCCCTCGCCCGTCTGTGGGACCCCTACAAGGCCGCCCACTACCGATGCTTCAAGGCCTCTGACCCGTCCCGCAGCAGCGGCAGCGGCAGCGGCAACCTGTATAACGAGAAGCGCGAAGTCATTGCCCTGGCCCGTCAGTTCATCAGCGCCTTCGACAAGGTCACGTCCGAACACCTCCTCCCGGAAAAAGACCTGCGCGACCTGAAGCCTATAGCTGCCAAGATCAACCGCGAGGTCCAGTCCTTCTTCGCCGACCGCGAGACTCGCGAGCCCAACCTCCCCTCCTCCCTGTCCAAGAGGACAACCACCGAGAACGACGATGACGACGACCTCGTCATGAGGCAAGGCTCAGAATGGGTCTGGGACACGTACAGACCTCCCAGACGGGAACCAGAACCCAGATACAACAAGAACAACAAGAACAACATTAATAGCAGTAGAGACAGAGTCAGGGATAACCGTGGTAATGGCAAGACTTCCTATCCATGGGAACCGACGCCATCGCGCGAAGACTCCATCCAAGCTCCCCAGTCTAGATCTAGACCAAGGTCGACGGGTAACTACCAGAGGCCTGGAAACAGATCGTCATCAAACGATAGGCGGGACCAGTGGTAGACGTCTACCGAGTGTGTATATATAGTGTGCAACAGCCATGGGCGGGACAAACAATTGTATTATACGTGTAACAAGAGAGGGGAGAAGAAAAGGTCAAAACATATGGCATATACCCTCCGTTGGGATTGGCATAGCGTGGAACAAGGGAGTTTTGCTTTGGGAGGATCACATCTTGCATAATACTACTACTCTTCTTCCAATATGTTTTGGTTTCTATCATATTCGGATTCCTCTAAATACTGCATTGTACTGTTTTTCAATGCCTCTTTCCCTTGTGACTCTTTCTGACGAGCGGGAACGACTGTGAATTTACTGTCCCCGTCTAATCAATACCTGTCAGTGATAATCGACATGACAGCCATCGCAAGCTACCAAACCAAACATTTAGACCCACGTTCCGCCACAGCCAGCAGTCATATCGCAGGAGGGGGGGCTTAGCCATAGAGGAGACATGCCAGGGGGCTTCTTGCTCTTGCCTGAGCACGAAGATGCTTCCGTCTCAGAGTCGTTCTCGGGTGGTGAATAAGGATGTCTCCGCAACGCCATCAAGGCACTAACACGACTGTTCCATGGCACATGGTTCTCCGATATGTCTGTATTCACGTCGTCATCATCAGGAGGAATCACCCGTATCTGGGGCGGCCCGCCATCAGCTCCCGTCTTTTTAGCCACACTGTTGACCGGTCCGGTGAGAGGCAGGTACCGGGGGCGGCTCGCGTCGTGTGGGGGAGCTTCTGGTGGCAGCTGTTGGGGTTCGCGGGCCTCATACTCGTAGTCCGTCATGGCCGAAGCTGCCTCAGAAGTAGCTTCTGTACAATCCCGCTCTTGGATCGGGTTACTTGTTGACCGCAGCGAGGCCACACATGTCCCCGAAGTATTGCAAGATCGAACTCGTTCCATACTTCCAAGATCCCCGTCGTAGTGCAATGATGAGCACGCATCTTTTTCCTCGGGGTTGTCTACCCAAAGACCCATGTATTGGAGTGCCTGACGGTTGCGTTCCCACCGTTCATTCGGTAGGCGCTTATCGCGACCTGAGGATGGTAGCCGTACAGCACCATGGCGGTAAAGCTGGTAGAGCTCCGGTTCCTTCAAGTCCTCCATTGATTCCTCCTTGATGTCTGACAATTGGGGCCCATGGGTCAGCTTCCTCAGAGGAATTGATTGTTCCAGAATTGTTTCGAGGAAGTGCACAGGGACGCCCTCTGGGCCGTCCGGAGAGCCAGCCCGATCTTGCCCACAGCGACGGCATCGCCTCAGCTCTTCTTGAACCGAGTCTGCGGGCGGGGGGGAGGCCTTCATACGGCCTAGAGCTTGATCGGACACACATTCCTCATCTTCCTCGCAGGCGGAAGAGGGTTCATATTGCTTACCGCCATCGGTATGGTTTTCCTGGACACCCGGCGGAGTAGACGGACCCGCTTCGTCCACAAGCCCGTCGCGGTATTTAGAATCGATGGCATTTGCAGCTTGCTCCAATAAGGCCATGAATGCCAACGATGAGTCCTTGCTGTTCCTAGGCGATTCACAGAGTATATCGAGGCGCGGAGGGGGCACTCTGCGGGTGGCTTGCCGAGCTTTTTCGTCCTCCAAGACTGGTACACGATCATCCCTTGGATTGGTAAAGAAAGCCATTGCACTTTCTTCCCTAAAAGTGAAATCTTCATGATGCAGTTTGGCTTTGACAGACCGGAAGATGTTGCTCAAACTTCCTCTCCGCTTGACAGCACGGGCAGGAACTGTGATAGTCAATGGTCAGCGGGACGGGGTCACAGCTATGAGAGAGGGAGCGTATGGCGCGTCCCAGTACCCAGAATAGCAGCTCACCATCTGGTATACCATCATGGTCATAGTCTTCATCATCACGGCGCTTGACGTCGGGCCGGTTACTCCATGAGCGGTGCTGCAGTCTGCCCTGCCGCTAGTTGGGGCGCAGAGTAGTATGGCGAGACCAATGAACGCGAGCAAGCAGATCGTGGAAGAACATGATGTCGTTTAATATGCAATTTCGGTACAGAGAAAGAAGTACTAAAAGAAAGAAGGCGCAGATAAAAAAATGAATGAAAAAAGAAATGAAACGATGGAGGCTCTCGAACACCAAGATCGTGAGCTCACCTAACGATAGTCGGAGCTTGTGTTATGAAGAGTTGGGGAACGGTCAGAGGAGAAGCACCAAGAGATGAAGGTGGCCAAGGCAACGAACGGGTCGACAACTCCTGAATGGTCTTTCCTTGGATGACGTTGGGAAGGAGGCTACTGTGTTCCTTCCTGCCTTATAAGTGGTGAATCTACTGCTACTATTGGCAGTTGAGGCAGGTGCGGACAGGGTACAGCTATGTGCTATTAGCACCTACCGAATATCTACATTGGTCCAGACTACAAGGTGCTCGACGAAACATGTAATCTGTACATATCACTCAACAGCAGAACATCTCTAATCTGTAAAGATAACATTAACACCATGATGGATGCCCCCCCATTATCAGTGTTGTTCGCGACAAATTGCCAACCGGTGCAGAAGCCGTTTATTACGAACGGACTCCATGTATCTGGCCGTGGTGGACCACTAACGTCGCAGAGCTAGGTACATGGCAATGGTCAGCAACTGACCCCACAGGTACTTTACAGGCCCCGTAGGTTCTAATAATACAAGGTACAGCCACCAATGCTGGAGGCTTTGCAAGCTTTAAATGCAGGGGACTTCACCAGTCTTAAGCGCATACGAGTACAGATTAGAGAGCCCTGTACGCGACGCGTTACGCGGGGGGATGGACGCGTCTCCCCTAGACCGCGTCTGTGCTCAAGGCCTTTAATTGATTTCGCCCTGGACAGACTCTCCACCCTCACCCCCATGCCTATTGCCCATACACCATAACTCCCTCCGTACATTCTCTCTGACCTTCCTCATCACGACTGTAGACAGGCAGGTATTCATATATGCCCTTCTTCTTCTCTGTCTAGCGACTCTGCCAGTCTTCAGCCATGGCAAAACTCACACACAGGGCCAGGCTGGCGGAGCTGCGTGCTCTCCGTCAGTCCGGAAAGAAGGCCTTTGCCAACTACAATGTCGACGAAGCCGACAACGTCTTCGACGAGGTCGACGAGGATGGATACAAGAAGTTGGTCCGTGAGCGCCTGAACGAAGATGACTTCGTTGTCGACGATGACGGCGAGGGATATGCCGACGACGGCCGAGAGGACTGGGATCATGTCCAGAGATACGACTCGGACAGCGAGGCCGACGAGATTAGCCACAGGGGAGGACGCCCAAGTAAAGCGAGTGAGTACTGCCTTTTGTCATGAGCATCTTGCTACACAGCTTGTTGGAATACCTGCTAACGTCCGCCTGCAGCCAAAAAAGCTCGTGAGGACGAGCAGGCCAAGCGTGACGCCAACGACCAAGATATCGGCAATTTTTTCACCAAGAAGTCTGTCACGGCCCAGCCCAAGCCCAAGATTGCCAAGACCCAGGATGATGTTGATTTCATGGCTGGTCTCCTCGGCGAAGTCGATACCAACATCCCCGCCCCAACCAGGATACCCAAGCACGAGCGATCAGGTGAACGTCGCAAGTCGCGTGCTCTCTCCCCCGCACGTGAACAACCATTGTTGAAGAAGATGAAGTCGGTCGACACCCGCTTCACCTCGTCCCCGCCTGCCCTGCCCACTGCAGACGATGAAAATGAGGGTCACATGCCGCCTTCCATCATTGAGGAGGAGCCCCCGAGCACCGCAGATGTGCCCATGAGCGACCCTGCTCCCTCGTCTCCGGCCGCCAAGGTTGCCCAAAGAAAGGCTCATTTTAGGGAAGAGCCCAAGGACGACGATATCGAGGACGACATGATGGAAGTTGCCCACGCCGGTGCAATTAGGACGGTCAGCGTCAACATTAGCGGCTCCAAGCCCATCAAGAAAATCCTCAAGCAGCCAGAGCCTTATCCTACTCCAGCCGGCTCCTCCCCAGCCAAGCCCCTGCAGTCTTCCACAGTCGACTCCTCAGAATGGAACCAGCTCAATGACAGTCTGAATGTCGTCACCACCTCGCCTGACACCAGGTGCGTCGGCAAGATTGACCACAAGGACGCCATCGAGGCTGATGGAAGCCTCAACTTCTTCTGGACCGATTATACCGAGGTCAATGGAAGTCTGTGCCTCTTCGGAAAGGTTCTCAACAAGAAGACAAACACATACGTCAGCTGTTTCGTCAAGGTTGACAACATCCTTCGCAAGCTCTTCTTTCTGCCTCGTCAAAAACGGCTCAGGAATGGCGCCGAGACAGATGAGGACGTTGAGATGACGGACGTTTACGACGAGGTTGACGAGATGATGACCAAGATGAATGTCGGCATGTACAAAATCAAGGCCTGCACTCGCAAGTACGCCTTTGAACTTCCCGATGTCCCCAAGGAGGCCCAGTACATGAAACTCCTTTACCCCTACACAAGTGAGTTGTGCCCTTCTGCGTACAAGAAAAAGAAAGGGATTAATGGACGGTGTTGCTGACCCAGACCAAAGAGCAGCAAGTTGACCCCAACCGCATGGGCGAGACGTTTTCGCACGTCTTTGGCTCCAACACAGCCCTGTTTGAGCAATTCGTTCTCTGGAAGAACATTATGGGACCGTGCTGGCTGAAAATTGAGGACGCTGACTTTGGCGCCATCAAGAACGCCTCGCACTGCAAGCTCGAGGTGCTAGCTGAGCATCCCAACATGGTCTCGGTTGCAACCGAATCGGACAACCTGGACGCGCCGCCCCTGACCCTGATGAGCGTCGCTCTCAGGACAGCCTACAACCAAAAGGAGAACAAGCAGGAGATCCTGGCCATCAGTGCCAGGGTCTATGACAATGTGCTACTTAGCGACACGACCCCGGCTGGGAAAATACCTTGCCGCACCTTCACAGTCATCCGACCTCATGGCCCGTCATTTCCTATCGGGTTCGACCAGTTGGCCAAGAGCCGATCCAAGGGTGGGCCCATTGTGCTCAAGAAACAAGAGTCGGACGTCCTTAGCTACTTTTTAGCGCAAATGGATCTGACAGATCCCGATGTCATCTTTGGCCACCAGTTTGAGGGAGTCGACTACAGCGTCCTCCTGGATCGATTGCAAGAGAAGAAGACTCATCAGTGGTCAAGGCTGGGCCGCTTCCGCAGATCGCAGTGGCCGAGCTCTATCACCAAGATGGGTGGTAACGTCTTTGCCGAGCGCCAGATCATTTCTGGGCGACTCCTCTGCGACCTTGCCAACGACATGGGCAAATCGGTCATGAACAAGTGCCAGACATGGAGCTTGACCGAGATGTGCAGCCTGTATCTATCCGGCGACAACCGCCGCCGTGATGTCGATAACGAGGTTGCCCTGAACACTTGGGCCAAGGAGAAGAAGGGTCTCATGGATTATATCTCGCACATGGAAGCCGACACGCATTACATCGCAGCCCTCGCCTTGGGCACGCAGATCCTGCCTCTGACGAAGGTCCTGACCAACCTGGCCGGCAATTCATGGGCGCGTACGCTGACCGGTACCCGCGCTGAGCGCAACGAGTACATTCTTCTCCACGAGTTCCACCGTGGCAAGTACATTTGCCCCGATAAGCAAGGCTTCCGTGGCCGTCCCAGGCCTGAGGACGAGAACGAGGAGGGCGGAGAGACGAAGAAGAAGGACAAGTACAAGGGCGGTCTCGTCTTCGAACCTGTCAAGGGACTCTACGACAAGTTTGTGCTTGTCATGGACTTCAATTCTCTCTATCCCTCCATCATCCAGGAATTCAACATTTGCTTCACGACAGTCGACCGCTCCGCTGTTGTAAGGCCGTCCCACCCCCCCTCTTCCCTTTGAACAACAGTTCCACTAACCTGTCATTCACGTACAGAGCGAGGACGAAGATGCCGTCCCCGAGGTGCCTACGGACCAGGAGCAGGGTATCTTCCCCCGGCTGATTGCCACACTCGTCGGGCGACGTCGCCAGGTCAAGAGTCTGATGAAGGACAAGAAGGCGACACCGGAGCAGCTTGCCACTTGGGACATTAAGCAGCTGGCGCTGAAGCTGACGGCCAACTCCATGTACGGTTGTCTGGGATACACCAAGTCTCGTTTCTACGCCCGCCCCCTGGCCGTCCTGACGACTTACAAGGGCCGTGAGATTCTAAGACGCACCAAAGAGTTGGCCGAGAGCAATTCGCTGCAGGTCATCTACGGTGACACGGACTCGGTCATGATCAACGCCAATGTGAACTCGATCGCCGAAGCCTTCAAGGTTGGCGCCGAGTTCAAGAAGGCCGTCAATGAGCAGTACAAGCTCCTGGAGATTGACGTCGACAATGTCTTCCGACGCATCCTTCTGCAAGCCAAGAAGAAGTATGCAGCCATCGACCTTGTCGAGAAGGACGGCAAGTATATCGACAAGCTCGAGGTCAAGGGTCTGGACATGCGCCGTCGTGAATACTGCGCCCTGTCCAAAGAGATCTCACAACGCCTGCTGGATGAGATCCTGTCTGGCAACGACACCGAGGTCTCGATTGCGCGTATTCATGAGTACCTACGTGAGACGGCGGACAAGATGCGAGAGCAGCAGATACCCACGTCCAAGTACATCATATTCACGCAGCTGGGCAAAGGACCCAAGGAGTACCCCAACGCCGACTCGATGCCGCAGGTCCAAGTCGCCCTCCGCGACATGGAGCGAGGCAAGACGGTGCGCAAGGGTGACGTGGTGTCGTACATCATCACTGGAGACGGCAAGAGCTCGGAGACGGCAGCCAAGCGAGCACGCGCCCCAGCAGACCTCAAGGCCGACACCAGCCTGGTGCCTGACGTTGAGTGGTATATCGGAAAGCAGATCTTCCCCTCCGTAGAACGACTATGCGCCAACATCACGGGCACGTCGACGGCGCAGTTGGCTGAGCAGCTGGGTCTGGACGTGCGCAAGTACAGCTCTGTACAGAACAACGGCGGGTCGTCCAACAACGACATGGAGATTCACCCTCTTGAGTCGCAAATTCCCGACGAGGTGCGCTTCAGCGAGTGCTCCCGCCTATCTCTGCGGTGCCGCAGGTGCAAGTCCTCATTCGAGTTTGAAGGCCTGGGCGGCTCGCTGAACCGCATCTCTGCGTCAGGAGTGGTATGTGCCACCGAGGGCTGCGGCGCCACGCTCTCGACACTGTCGATTGTGGCTCAGGTCGAGCATGCCGTACGCAGCCAGACGTCCCGGTACTACGAGGGCTGGCTGGTATGCGACGACTCGCAGTGCGGCAACCGCACGCGCCAGATGAGCGTATACGGCACACGGTGCCTAGGTCCCAAGGGCCTGGCCACGGGATGCCTAGGCCGCATGCGCTACGAGTACACGGAGAAGGCCATCTACAACCAGCTCGTCTACCTTGCCAGCCTGTGGGACGTGGACAGGGCCAAGACCAAGGCTGTCGCCGCCGCTGCTACGGGCAGCGCATCCGTCTCGGCATCAGAGCGAGAGCAGCTCATCGCACTGGCAGAGCACAACCGCGTACGCTTTGGCACCGTCAAGTCGGTTGTGGACAAGTACCTTGACAAGTGTGGACGGCAGTGGGTGGCCATGGACACGCTGTTTTCCAAGCTCGGCTTCAACAAGATGATGGTGGCGGTGTGATAAAGGCGGTTGTTGTTCTCCTCATGACATTTCTTATCTGTTCCTGGTTCCAGGCGTTGCTCGTGTTTTATTATTATAATGAGAACGTATATGGGGGATTTTGGGTCAGGAGTTCCGTTTATTCTTCCACTTGGCTTCTATAGTAGCGCATATGATAATAAATGTGTATAGATGCATAAATCTACTGAAGGCGTATCTTGACTACTTTGAATCCCGATACGGATACCCTGATTCAATGTACACGTAGGACTTGACATTACGATTACGAGTTAGACAAATAAAAAAGAAGATAGAGTACAGATCTGTACTTGGATCATCATTCTCCAACGCACTGCATGATGTACAGTTTTAATTTTTTTACCCCCCCCCCCCCCCCCCCCCC